CGTTGAATTTTCGTCGATGTTAAGCCTAACGAAGACTATTGTATCGTTAAAAATTATTTTTTTATTTTGTACAAACGAAATAAATATATTGAAAAATATAAAAACAATAAAAAATTATACTTCAGAAGTTAATTTAGTACTAAAAACGTAAAATATTTGAGTACCTCAAGATATAAGCAAAGATTGCAGCGCCACAGCACTAGCGAAAATTTAAATTTGCCGATTGGAATTCTTTCGGATAATTGACGTTTCGGATGATTGACTTTCAGATAATCGACGCTCTACTGTATTTCTGAATTTGACTTTATTCTATATATTATATATACTGAAAAATCTTTGAAATAAAATTTAAATAAATTAAAAATTGATTAAAAAGCTTGAAAAAATTCTGAACTGCTTAATGAAATTAAAATTTCAAATTTATAAGAAAAATGATGCAAAATTTAATTTCTATTTAATTTGTTTATAATTAGGAGGAAAGAAAGTTAAATATATTAATAGCAAAAGTTCCTAAACATAGTGAATGTGCAAGAATTATTGATAATTATCATGAGATATCTGATAGTATTAAATATGCAAAATCAAAACTAACCGAACCTGGAATTTTTGAAGTAGATGGTATTGAACTTTTGGAGACATTAACTATGCAAATTACAGATTTGCAACAAAATCTTTTAAAATATATGATTAATATTCATCAGAATGCTACTGAAAAGTAAGTATTAATCATTAAGTTATTTTTAAATTGAATAGGTTTTATTCATTCAAGACACTGCTTTTTTAGGGATCACTTTATTTTTCTAGCACTTTCATATTCCTATAACCTATCTTCAGGGATGTCAAAATAAAAAAGTCAGTAAACAATTTGCTGGATTATTTATCAGGCTATGTTAGGGCTAATAATTAATTGGATACAAATGAATTTGCCTAGAGATATGCATTTAAGGCACTATCTCTTGATAAATTTTATAATTAGAATTAAATTATTAGCTTTAATAAAGTCCAATAGATAATCTGGCAGATTGTTTGGCAATACAAATATATTTGGTTATTGTTTATCATATATGAATAAAAAATTACACATTTGTTGAAAATCACGTTTTCTAGATTATCTATCAGAGAATGACAATATATTCATTTAACACACACCATCTTCTGTTAATATCTTTGAAGATAGATTGTGGAAATTTAAAAACACAAGATAATAAAGATACAAACTCAGGAAAGCAGTGTTTCATTGAATAAGTTGATACAGAAGTTATATGTTGAATAGATTTTAAATTAGATAATTTGAATAATTTCACTTTTTCTCTGTTAGTAAAATTTAATAAAATTTTTAAATTTTTGTTAAATTTTAAGCTGCAGATTTTCGTGCAGCTTTTTTCTCTTAGTTTTTTAAACAAAATTTTAAAATATAATTCATGAAACAATGTAAAATTATAAATTTGCTTTGATTCTGATGAAACCGTGTTGTTGTTATTAAGCTGTTTCTTTGCAGACACACTAAGGTGACATATATCAACACTTGGCAACTTATTGACTATTTATTCAGTTGGGACGCCTTTTACATTACGCGTTTCGGGCATTGGCCCCTCTTCAGCCAACTAGACATAAAAAATAAAACATAAGAAAATTTGTACAAAANGCTATTACATTGCAATTATTTTAAATTAATTACTAAATAATTTATCACTATAGGAAGGTATTAGGTGCCATCTCTTATTAGATTTAATAATTATAATTAAATTAGATAATTTAGAAAATTCTGGAAAAAAAGAATTGGCCCAAAGTGGGACTCGAACCCACAACTGCTGCTTACTGTGAATATGCATTGCCCCAGTTATGCTATCTGAGCCTGGGCTGATGCCATAGGTGAGTGTTTACAGGACACAAATGCTGAATGCATCCCAATTCAGCACCATATGTAACCAGTGATGGTTATCTGTTGTTTAAATATATCTGGAAGAGGAGATTGACTGGAGGATCAGGTAGCATAACTGGCAACACATCTGCATTTTAAGCGGCAGTTGCTTACAAACTTTGTGATGATTTTTATACAATTATACAATTAGTGGCATACATTGATTACAGAAAATCATTCAACAGTGTCCCACAGATTTGGCTGCTGCACACACTTTGCATCTACAGAAGTCATCTCCAACTCATTTGTTTTTTGGTTTTACCATGCTTCACTGAAGAACAACATTTCATCTTAACCTCCATGACATTCACATTAAAAAAAAATCAAATATATATCAAACAAAGAATTTTTCAAGCAGATCCTTTGAATCTTCTTTGGTTCTGCCTTGCACTTAACCCTTTATCTACTACATTGAACAAAACACATCATGATTACAATATCAGACACAACAAAACAATACAGTTCGCATTATCACACCTCATGTAGTACATGGATGATATCAAACTTTACACATCTATACAGAATCAGCTTTATCATCTCTTACAAACTACATACACATACTCAAATGATATACAAATGGAGTTTGGTCTAGACCAGTGGTCTGCAACCTTCCTGACCTCAATCTGAATTCAAATTTGTGAGTTTAGTGGTCCATGAGGGACCACTAAACTCACAAATTTGAATCCCGTGGACCACTATCGTGAATTTTTTAAACAATACAAAATCTGTAGAATAGTGATCATAAAAGTTCAATTTTTCTATATTAATATGAAACTCGTGTTTAATTATAACAAGCTAAAGTTCATTGCTGCTTGTTTGAAATAAGTTTATAGATTCTTAGTGCTTTTCCACAAAAGACGATAATGCAATCACAATATTGTTTATTGTTCATTATTTATTGATAACAGTCACTTTGTATTTGGTTTTAGATTTGAATAAAAAATCTCCAATAAGTGAAAAAAATCAACTAAGCAGTTTGCATTTCTTTCATAATACTTCGTGTAACATTCAGTTGATCAATGTCCAAATTTCTCCATGGACCATCCAAATTTTTGTGGACCATCAATGGTCCTAGTCTAGACAAATGCAAAACACTACATATTGAAAACGAAGTTCTGAAGAAAGGAGACTGTTCTCAGAAGTGGAAAAATTATTGTGTCCATAAAAGAGAGCAAGTTTTACAAATATTTAGGATTCCAACAGGCCAAACTTTCAGAACATGTACAGGTAAAACAAATATTAACATTTGAATATCAGAATAGATTACATGCAGTACTAAGAACACATCTAAATGCAACCTATACTATTAAAGCTATTAATATATATTTTGTCCCTGTACTCACTTATTCTTTCGGAGTTATACACTGGATATGCACAGATCTTGAGCACCTCCAAAGGAAAACAAGAACACTTACTAAGCATAAACAATATCACCCAAAATCATCTGTAGAAAGACTAACTCTTCCTTGTAAAGAATATGGTCATGTCCTTACTAATGTAGTTAACCTGCACTACAAACAAATTCAGACACTGCAGGAGATTTTCCACAAAAACAAGAAACATTAAGATTACATAAAGCTATAACTCTGGCAGACAGTAACCATATGCCTTTAAACTTATATTCTGAACACCTGGACATAGCTCACAAAATAAATAACATAGACACCACTAAACAGTCATCAACACAAATTGTTAATTATGTTGTGAAAATTCAAAATTAAAACAGAGTATAAAGAGTAAAAAAAAAGAAGAGAAAATGAAATTGAAATTATTTTATGAAAATTACAAGGTGTGTCTGAAAAGTTCAGTGAATAGTTTCATAAAATAAAGAAAACAAGAGATACAAACAAAATACCTTTCAAATGGCATTCAAAGTAATTGCCATTAGCAACAACACACATTTGACATCAGTTGTACAGTTGCTGGAAGCTGTGAGCAAACACTTCTTTTGGTATCACACGAAGCACCATTATCACACATTGTTGGATCTGCGCAATGTCAGAAAAGCGTAGGCCTTTCAGGACTCCTTTGAGGTGGGGAAACAAGAAATCTGCAGGTGCTGAATATGGAGAATGTTGAAGAACTGTCACCTGGTGTATAGCGAGGAAGTGCCGTACGTGGCTTGCAGTGTGCGGATGGGCATTATTGTGGCGCAGAGTTCACTGTCCAGTCTGGTACAACTGGGGTTGAAGTCGCCGGATGCGTTTCAGCAGCTGTTTCAAAACTCCCTCGTAGAATTCTGCATTGATGGTTGTATCGTTGGGTAAAAATTCATGATGGATCAAGCCCTTACTGTCAAAAAAGGCAATCAACATCATCATAATCCTGGATTTGGTGAGACGACATTTTTTGGGAGGGGGACGACCATGAACACCATTCCATGGACTGTCGCTTGGTCTCCGGATCATACTGGTAGCACCATGACTCATCCCCTGTAATGATTGTTTCCAAGAACTGCAGATTCCGGTCACATGCATTGATGAAATCTCCAGAGGTTTCCATCCGGTGTTGCTTTTCCTCATCTGACAGCATGTGCGGTGCAAACTGGGCACAAACCTTATGCTTTTGCAAATGTTCATGAACAATGGTGCTCACACTGTCCTTACTTATTTTCAAATCTTCTGCTATTCTGCTATCTGCGAGTATTCTCAAAGACAGGCGCTGATCATCTGCAAGCATCCATCGCACTTGTTTGATGTTGTCTGGAGTTGTGCGTGTTGACATTCAACCAGAACATGGCTCATCTCGACATCTTCCTTTCTGTTTCTGAAGCATTTAAACCATTCAAAAACACACTTTTTATTCACTGCTTCCACACCATACACTTTCACTAACATTTCATGTGTCTCCATCACTGTTTTGCCTAATTTGAAGCAAAACTTGATGCTCATACATTCCTCCATTTCGCAGTGACACTCCTTTTCACACTGACTGCATTGCATTGTTTGTTGCGCGCACTTCCATTTAACTGTCATGATTTCGACACTAGGGCGCACTAGTTGGCAAGTCTCTCACTACATCTGCATGAGCGCGCATCCTAACCAGCACAGTTATTCAACTATGGGACCATTCACCAAACTTTTCAGATGCACCTTGTATTTTTATTTATATGCATACAATCTTATTACATCACCTAAGGTTTGCTGAGAGAAAATTGCTTATTTAACAAATTTTTCAACCTATTAATATGTGTCATCTTCAGTTTTGAACTAAAATTAAAAATTGTTTCAAAAATAGAACATTGTGTTTTGAATATTTTAAATACAAATTCAAAATTGCATGTATTAAATAAGCAAATTATGAACAATATAAGTTTANATATTCTTAGAAATATTTTTCAGATGTGTTAAATTCTTGGATTTTAAATTAATTTTAAATACTTCATTTAAAATTTTATATCCAATATATATTCATATTCACATATAATTTAAATTTTTATTAGAAAATAAAAATTAAAGTACATTATATAATTTATTGAAGAATCAAAATATTGTTTAATCAATTATCTCCTCTTTAGAATTGATTTACTGACAACAAAATGTGATATTAAATAAATAATTTGATAAATTCTCTTCGCTCAATTAATTATTTTTATTTATGAATTAGGAAGAAAATTTGATAAAGCTGGTAATTTCACTCAGTGGTGGCCAGAAGAAGTGATCGATAAATTCAAAGAGAAAACTGTATGCTTCGTCGAACAGTATTCTCAATATACTATCGATATGGTTGGGCAAAATGTAAGTTTTTTTCATTACTTTTAATTGGGAAAATTAATTATGTTATGACTGAATAACAATAAATAAATTTTGAGTCATGTTTTTATTACTTCATCTGTATCTAAATGAGTTTATCATCATTGTAACATAGCAACAGAACAGCTGAAAGATGTTTTCTTTGTAATTTCATTATTCATTAGAACTTAAACTAATAACTTGAAACAAGCAAACATTTTTACATCCTTAAATTAATATATTATCATGCAAAATTTAATAAGTAATGTTTTTATATTTATTATATAAACATAAGGCTCTGTTTTATTAGAGCTTACTAGTCAAAATCCATCTATAAGGGAAAATATGACATGAGGTGATGTAGTTGCTATTTCTGTGATCCAGAAGCTGTATTCATTTCTTAATGTGCTATACAGTAGAAAGTAATTTGTCAGGAGTAATATTCTGTACTTGTAGTGCTATATTATCTTTTAAGGCTGCCAAATTAGGGACACTTCAACGGTAAACATCAGTCTCACAACCAATACTTGTATGGCATGATGCGAAGCATAAAAGATATTCATTTAAATGGGAATAAGCAGTTGATTACACTTTCTCCTGTAAAATGATGCTGCAAAAGATGCTGCATTGGTCATGTAATATGAGATGGTGTTTCATCTTGCATAAAAATGTCTTTTCCAGGCATCATCATTACTCCAGTCTGCAATTGTGGAGTAATAAAACTGCAGAGCATTCTGTGCTACTTCTGTGCAGTAATGAAGCATATTACTGTTCTTATTGAGGGGATTTTCCCAAAAAGAATAGTCTCAGTGTGAAAATTGTGGTAAAAGCATACCAAATATTGATTTTAGGCGAGTGCAACAGAATATCTAAAGTCCAAATTCAATAGTTTTGGATGTTATAAAACCTGTCCAGATAAAAAAATGGGTTTTTTCTCCCATAAGTTTGTGAGCTCCAATGAAAGTAGAGTTTTGTGTTTAGAACGTTTAAGAAATTGAGTTTATTGAAGATTTGTAAATATTTATTTTCCATAGACTGTAATAATGAGATTGTTTTTACAAAATTAAAAATTTTAGATTAGTTAATGATTTTGAAGAACTTAAGAATCAAATATTAACTACACCTGAAAACACAGAAGAATTAATGAAATCTCAAGTAAGTGAAAATAAATACTATCATTGTAATTCTCTACATTTATCTCTACTTTATGCTTGTTAGTTCATGAAAACTATATCTTTCTGGTGAAGTTATAGAAATTATTAAAAAAGTAATTACTTATAAATGTAAAAGTAGAAAATATCACTTATGGATTTGTCTCAGATAATTGAGGGTTTTTACTGTGTGGCTGTACGCCATATTTTATATAGGTTTTATTTTAACTTTTGTATAATTTCCCTTCTTTCTTCCTTCTTCTGTTGTCTGTCCCTTCCAGAAAATTCTTTCTCAACCCTTTCTTCTTGGGTGGTGGTGATTAATCTTTTGAACAAAGGGAAGGAAGAAAGCCTGAGGGTTTAAGAGAAAGACAAGGAACATTTTTGACTGAGACGTTGTAAGGATCGGACAGAAAGGTGGTGCTCTCTATATCATCTTAGCAGCAAATGGAGACACAAAGAAGTCAAGGCAAGAATCAACAGCAGATCTGGTCAAGAAAAGAAATATCATAACGACTTCAGATCAACATCAATATGAGTTAAGAGAAATCAAGAATTCGCCTGTCATTCCAAAAAGGAAGAGATTTTGAGAAACTATCACCACCCCCAAGACTACCATTGTAGGCTAGGTACCCAATTTTACCTATCTTTATTTCTATCATTCTCTCCTATACCAATGTTTTCTGTCTTTAGTTTAAGTTATTTTTAAGTGTTAAAGTGTTTAAGTGTTGTGATTTGCATATATTAATTGTATAAAACTCAAAGTTCATTTATGTCGTGATGGTTGTACTGATATCTGTTCATTCTATTAAGGTCATACTACTCTTATTGTGAAACTGTAATCAGGGACTGAGTGGAGTTGGTATCCCAACGAACTGTTTTATTTCATGTGAAATAAAGGTTTCATTTTGTTAATGTATCCTTATAGCTTTCATTTCACTTATATCATCACAACTGTAATTGAATTTCTTCTAAAAACAAAAATAATTATACTTTAGACGTTAATGTAGTATCAAAAACATTCGATTCAGCACGACGCACAGTCTTCAGAAAAACACTACACAAAAGCGTCAGTGCTGCCAGCTAAAATACACACACCAACAAAAAAAATATTGGAGTTGCCCAAGATATAGCCAAAGATTGCAGCGCCACATCACTAGTGAAAATTTAAATTTTCCGACTGGAATGCTTTCGGTTAACCAACGTTTCGGATAACCGGCTTTCGGATAAACAACGTTCTACTGTAGATAGATAACTGGCATGACTCCATTGCTAACAGAAAAGTATGATTTACAGGGGCAAGACATTACAGTAGTAACTTGAGGTGGAGAGCATATATTTTAAATTAAATTAATTAAAAATATGATTAAAATCGCAGCTTGGCATTATGACAATGTCACAATAAATAATTGTTTAATCAGTATTCTAGTTTTCATCCTTGCTTGTTAAATAAATAAATTTTGTCTCAACAAATCTTAGATGGTGTAATAAGACTGTAGTCTCTCTCTGCTGAGTGCAGTTTGTATGAAGTTCATATGTATTTGCTCAGTGGTATTAGTTATCTTCAAGTTTTTCAAGTATTTTTACATATATTCCAAATACAGTTAGAATAGTGTTTATAAGTTTTGAGCTGTACTTTTTGTGCATCTCAATTTATAAGCACTGTGTGTTATAATCACTTCAAAATGACATTAAGTCTATATTAGAATATAAAAAATATATATATTTAAACATAGAGCATATTATTGGCTGTATTTGAATGTTTTCTTGTTTCTGAGCTGCATGTCTTTATTATTAATTTGATTTTAGTTTTTATCATGCTGGTATTAATTTTAATAATCTAAAGACAAAAAATTAAAATGCAAGAAATAGTTTCTTTTAACTTTGATATTTTATATTATATGTAAAATCTTATTTTGTTATTAGAAAATATTATCTAGAAATATTTTTTGTTAATAGTGAATTACATTTCATTAACTTATATATTTATAAGATTCAATAAATATATTTTTGATTACTGTATATATTTATATAACTGATATATTAATTAAACAAACTTTTCAATTAATTATAAAATGTAATGTTCAGATTAAATCATTACAGGATCATACTTTTTTCAAAGTTAAACTTATTGCTAAACATGAAGGAATAGAACTTATTCCATCTTTAGATGAATTTAAAGAAAAAGTTATTAGTTTTCTTGATTTAATGATGAAAGCTGTGTCAAAATTTTCAAGAATAGATAATGCACTTGGAATAACTGTAAGTATTAAAACGTTTTTTATTTGTGTGCTTGTATGTAAGGTTTATACAAAAACCATTTTTGAAAATCTTTAAGTTTAAATGAATTTTATATATATATATATATACAGAATGATTACTTGCAGATAGAGTTTGTAATGGCTCTATATTTGTTTTCAGGACATAAGTGTTTTGTGACAATTTATTAATTAATTAAAATTTTACCTACTTTGCCATTTGAAAAATAATGATAAGAGTCAAGACTCCTGTAATTAAGCATTTCTTGGTAATCATACACTTTACTTTTAATAAGATATTTAAATACATTCCAAAGATGACATTCTCTCATGTCATTATTTTATAGTACTAATTGATGAAAATAAATTAGAAAATGCAAGTTTGTAGAAGAAACTATGCAAAAATCCAAAAATTTTGCATTAGACTTAATTCTATGATATTCTGTGAATATTTTGGACTATTTTATGAGTTAAACGAGGATACAAATATTTCCTGGTAGCTAATAACGGTGGAATATTGATAAAATTACAGAAGCCAATTTTGCCAATTATTTTCTAGAGAGAAAAAGTTAAAAAAATAGGATTTAGATTTTCTTAATTTTACTTTAAATTTTTATCAATTTTAAAAGATATTTCTCCCATAATGCATGTAGTATGCTTTTTTCTTTTCATTAGAAAACATTTAAACTTGTGTAAAAATGATTGAAAATACTCTCTTTATAATTTAAAATATAAAACCCGTACAATTACTAACAAAGTGGATTCTATAGTTCTGCAGTTCCATAGTTCTTGCAGTATATTAATGATGGCACTACAGAATGGGAAAATAAATGAACCCTGTCTGAAAACTTGTGGATATAGTATGGGTAGTATACAGGAATAAACTTGTCTAATCTGATGGGATGCACATGAACAACAAAGTTGATGTCATCAGTCAGTCTGTGTGCTGCCACATAGGAGAGCATAATGCATTTGTGGGTAGCATATCAAACATTTACCTGGCTCAAGCAGATTAGTTTTACTACAGTATGCTTGGGTCTGAGGCAATTTCAAGTCAAAATTTTGTAATTTGATGTGAAAGTGTGAAAATCACATGCATTGGTAATAACAGTGTTGTTTGCAATGCAAAATTTCACATTTATAATTATTATGCCTGTGTCCTATATCTTAATTTAATATTTATCTTGTATACTAGTACTTTATCAATTAACAGGACTTAGTATACTGGATTTATGAATGCAGAAATTTTGTCTTACATCAGAAATAATATATTTTTTTTATTTAGTTCACCTGTACACATACATTTTAAACTTTTTGTTTTGGACTTGTTTGTTCCTCATCAGCAGGCATTCAAAAGACACTTTCTACAGTTAACAAATTAAATTTTTTTATTAAATAAATGGTGAACTAAATAAAAAATATTATTTCTGATCTGTAAGACTAAATTTCTGCATCCATAAATCCAGTATAATAAGTCCTGTTAATTGATAAAGTACTAGTATACAAGATAAATATTAAATTATACATTTATAATTCACAGATACCAAATAGTTCTCTATTTAATATTTGAGGAGGAGATTTATTCATAAGTATCTAGTGTACTTTGTGCCAAAGAATATTTATATTGTGTCAAAGAGAAATAATAATCAGTTTTAGTTTATCATGTTACTTGTACAGTTTTAACAATTTACTATTAGAATTGAATTTATTTATTTACTACACAATAAATAAAAAACACATCAGATAGTAATCATGAATAATCACAAGATATTGTTTTTATATTTTTCAATATATTTATTATGTTTGTGCAAAATAAAAAAATAATTTTTAATGATACAATATGGTCATGCCACTACTGCCAGCTAAAACATGCACACCAACAAAAATAATATTGGTGCAGCCCAAGACATAGCCAAATATTGCAGTGCCACAGCACTAGTGGAAACTTGAATTTGCCAACTGGATTGCTTTTGGTTGATCAGTATTCGGATAATCAACGCTCTACTGTATTTAAAAATATTGATTTAATAATAAACGAATTTTAGGAGTGTTAATTTCTATCTGATATTATGTTACTTATTTGATCAAATATGTGATTAGAAGATAATTTTCATAACCATTATTTATTGTCGGAAGACATATTATATATTTACTAATATTTGTATGNATTAAATTTAAAACTTTTAAACAGAAATTAAAATTATGAATATTTATTTTAAAATTTTTAATTAAACAGGAATTTATAAAAAGAGTAGAAATTGAGCACATACCTCAATTACGAGAAAAAATAGCAGAATTAGCAATACGAATTATTTTCTTTGCATCAAATATCGAATTTACTACAGATGATATTGTTTCAAATTCAGAGCCTTTTTATCTTTTGTCAGAATTGCCTGATATTATTTCTGAACATAGAAAAATGATTAATGTGAGAGAAACTGATTTTCAGCAACTCTTAAAGGTAATGAATTTTTATAGTTAAATTAATTTTAATTATATACTTCAAAAGCAAAATCTTAAAGTGATGAAACAATTGTTTGTTTTAAAATAGAATATTATTTATATAATAGTTTTTAATAAAATTCCATATTATACAAATAAACCTAAAGAACAAATCTACTGTTTAAATTTCTTGTCCACCGAAACAAAAAATTAAGATCTAGATTGAGAACATATATTTAATTGCTAGCTTAATTATTTAGAGCATTCATAATATTAGCAAAGGACAATTTTGGATTTCACTCATATTCAAGCACAATTTTTCTATTCAGATTATCACGTTTTCTTCTAAATAATATGTAGTTTAGACATTTATATTTATCTTTCAGATAATATCTGACTAATAACAGTATAAATTTCTAGTTAAAGTTTTAAGTTATGTGAAGGAAATAATAATAATTCATTGATGTTTAAAAAATTTTCATTTATTAAAAATATTTAGTAATACAGGCATAACTCACTTTAAAGTGCTTTGTTAATATTGCAGTTTTCAATTATATTCATATTTCCTATTTTTGCAATTGTCTTGCTATGGGGATTTTTATTTATTATTTTTACTACTATATTTTTTAGGCCTAGATCTATTGTGCATTTAATAAATGGTGATATATATTTTTAGGATTTTATATACATTAGCCAAATGAAAAGAAGGCTGTGTTTTGCTTTAAAGTGATATTCACTTTACAATGGTGGTCTAGGATTTAATCAGCCTTATTAGTGAGACATACCTGTAACATAAATATAATTTAAACATTTAAATCATTTTAAATGGAAAAATTAAAAGGAAAAATTGATTACCTTTTTTTATTTACTGATAGAAGATGTTAAAGAGTATAAATTATTCAATGTATGTTATATTTTTTCATACTTATTTAATGTACTTTGGCAATAGTGGAATCCCTTCTTTCAGTTAGTTTGTTAAATTGAGGGCCTATTGTAATATTAATAATAATAAATTAACAAATATTTTTAAATAAATGAAAATGTTTTTAATAGTTGTGAAATGTTAATTTAGTTCATAATGGGCTATGGACAAAGAATTAATACACCCTTGTAAACCAAAATACAATAAATTTATTAAAATCAATAAAACACATTCAAAAATACTCCACAGGACCCAGGATATCAGCCAGTGGGGATTTCAACTATATGATTAAACAATAATGCACCCCAATCATTCATCTGGGACTGAAATCAATAACTGCAAGTAACAAACTGAAACTCAACCATTTTACTAATATAATTAAGCTTATCTTACATATTCATACTAAACTAAAATGAAATATTACTACCAAACTTATAGCTAGTACAGAATCAACTGGTACCGGGAGATGACAGCTTACACAATACTGTGAGAACAGTTCTGGACAACAATGGATAGAAGCATTCTCTGTTCAGAGAAGTATTAGAACCAGAAAAGACAGTCCAGATCTTTGATACCCAGCAGAAAGGTAGAATCTTCTTGCCGATTTGACTTATTTAGTCTTTGATAGTGATTCTTTGTCTTTATTCTCTATACGTCTGCTATGGCTCCAAAGACCATAATGCCATGTGCTTTTCTACAATGACCTTTTTCTCTGGTCCATGGAATTCTTCTCTTCCTGAGAGAAGGAACTTGCATCCAACCTGGCTTCTCTCTTGTTCCAATACCCTCTCTCCTCGAGCACCCAATCAAAAGTGTCTTGTCTTTTTATCTCTGTTTTCCAGGGCTACTTCAAAACTCATTCAATCAGTCCTTTACAATCAGACAGAAAAAGGGGGGACAACCCCAGAGTTGCAGTTATACAAAGAAACATGAACAAACAATCCATTCCAAGACCAAAAATACAGGTGTAGACAATAAGGAAACATGCATAAAGAAAAATAAATATACAAGGCATACTGCCACATAGTTAGTTAAAAATCTAATTGTTTTTCTGTTTTAAAATATTAAAACATTAAATTATTAATATATGCATACCATTACTTTAAATAAGAAAGCTTTCTTTTCTAAATCTACATATATAGTATTTTAAAAATGTGAAAATCTATAAATGTTTATATTTGATTCAGTCAAATGAAACTTGGCCAAGCAGAAAAACAGAACAGGAATACAAGTGCATGTTTTAATAGTCTCCAAAATGGTTTAGACATGTGTTCCACTGCACAAGTAGTGAATGAATTCTAGTTTCTGTGTGTGGACATGCATTAATCATGAAGGAACATAACTTCAGTTAGCAATCCTGGATGCTTGCTCTTTAGAGTTTGTTAGGGTTCTGGTGAATCAATTAGCATTGACTATCTTCTTTTGTTCTAGAAAGTTGATTAGCAACACACTGTGATGATGAAAAAGATTGTGCACATCACTTTTCTAGCCAGCTGGGTTTTATTTGCCTGCACCAAATACACTTAACTAACTTGAATATATATTAAGTCAATTTTATTTTAATACATTTAATTATTAGTTTTAATTGATATTGCATTATGAAAATACTTTAAATAATATTGTTAAAAGAAATATATAAAACATGTAATATTGGAAATAGTAAAGACAGTTGGTTAAAAATATCTATTCTGTAACTGGATAAACTTCACATTTTAATAAAAATCATCTCAAACACTTATAATAGTTTTTAAAAAATATGGGAAATATAAATAAAAATTATTTATATTTGGAAGAATTTAGCCATTTTAAATATTTAAAATTTGATGAAAAATATTGAGTAATTTTTTATTATAGGAACAAAAGATAAACTTTACTGAAGAATTGGATTTATATAGTAAACAAATCAAGGAATTAGTATTTCAAAATAAAATTGAAGAAATAGATCAATATTTAAAAAGAGCTCAAATATTACATGATCAGTTGCAAAATGCTGCAGATATTATTCTTCATATTAACAAAGAAGAAGAAGCATATGACTTAGAAGTTACAAATTATCCTATTCGACAAACATTATTGAAACAATTAGATCCATATTTAAAATTATATGAAGTAGCTGTGGACTTCTATACAAAATTTAAGTAAGTATGTATGATGATATATGTATAAATTTGATAAATTTAATTGACTTTATGACTTTTGACTTTTCAAGATCAAGCCAAAGCTCACATACCACCTAGCATATGTCGATGTACCAGCAATAGCATGAGTACCACAATTTAAATTCACAGGAGTACATTTTTAAAAATATATGATAATTTCAAAAGTTATGAGCATATGTATTTATATGTTTTGAAAGATAAAAATGTAATAAAAGTGCAACATCTCATGAGCTAACTAATTTCTGTTCCTTTGTTGTTTTAGTTATTTAACAAATATTTAAAGAGATGCCCATTTTTATCTAAACATTTCAGTAATTGAGTAACAAAGTTTTTTTGAACAGACAGTAATATGTTTGGTTTTATTGTAGCACTTGCTTTGCTTAATCTTTGCTTCATATCTTGATTGATTATTGAAACAAAACTTGATCTTGTATAAAATGCCATGGGAAATATTGGTGTCAGGTCCAGTGATGTCAATAGATGGCTATGAAATTGGTCCTCCACATCCAATCCATCATTTTGCAAACATCTATTTAATTCACTTTAGAAATTAATTCAAAAATGAGTACTGCTTTTTAACCACATTAAGAATTGATTAAAAATGAATCATTAACAATTTTGAAATCTGTTTCAATTAATTAACTCATAAAAAAGTAGCATTATTATTAGACTGTTATCTTTCAAAATGTACAATACATATCATAATTTTTAAAATTATCATTTTTTGAAAAAAATGTTTTTAAAAAAAATTTATTTTTAAGCAGAATCTATAAATTTTTTTTAAATAAATTGGAATAGTTTGAAACTACAAATGGTTTTTCATTTGTAGTTTCAAAATTGACTCCTGTCCCATCCAGAAGGGAGTATTTTTATGGCATTAAAAAGATTCTTCAAAAATATTAAACTTTTATTCTTATCAATATTTTTATTGGAAACATATTTTTACAAGTATTGACTTCTAACATCTTATGTGAAACACCCTGTATACAGTCTATTGTTAATAATTATTACGTTTAATGATTGTCTTATTATTTGTTTTTCTGTTATGTGTGCACATCATATTAGTAGCATATTATTAAATTGGAAATTTTGAATGATACATTTTATGCATTAGTTTAAATTTCAAAAAAATTGGAAAGAATTTTTGTATATAAACTAAATTAAAATTGTATTTCAGGATTTGGACACAAGGTCCAATGAAGAATGTTGATGCTGAATTAATAGAACATGATATTAGTTCTATTTTACGAACATTGTTCAAATTGGAAAGAACATTTTCAGATGTTCCAGATCCTTTAAAAATTATAATGAAGGTAATTGTTTTAAAATTTTAAGTTTTTTATGTCATTTACTGTAATACTTCTTTAAAACTTTATAGAATATAGAAAATTATAATTGGGATAAAGCTAAATAAATTTTCTGAAAATATGTTGTTCACTTTTTAAATTAAGAAAAACATGTAATTAATAGTTTCAACAATCACATGAAAAAATTTATGATATACTTTATTATTTCATATAATAAAACTTAATAGTTTTTATAAGTTAAGATAATTTTCAAACTGTTTTAATTTTTTATATCAACTATTCATTTTTAATTATATGCATACCAAAAACCAAAAACTATGTGTATATATATATATATACACAACATATACACATAGTATATATATATATATATATATATACACACACATAGTTTTTGGTTTTTGGTATATATATATAAAACTATGTATATTAAAACAGTTGAAAAGTATCTTAACTTATTATATATATATATATATTATCATAAAAATTATTATATACAGTGGAATCTTCTTATTATGATCATTTTGGAGCATGCTACAATGATATGTAATAATAATTAATTACATTAGGATAAGTAAATAAAGATTGCAATTAGTGGAAATTCTGATTTTATTGATTTAAATTCTAATCTTATTCAGATTGAAAGGACATGCTAAACCAATTAAAAAATGCATAACTTCAAAATAAGATCATAAAATTTAATAAATCTTCAATGCATAACTTGAAGATTTATTAAATTTTAATACAGTTATTATTAGTAATTAATAGTAATTCATGAGGAAGTTTTTTGATTCAAGTTTGACTGTTGCTTTTTTACAGTATTTGCTTTACCAATAGCAAGTATATTTCAAGTAAGAAAGGCTATTTAAACTATTATACTGCAAACAAATAATGTATAAAACAAAACAGTAGTTAAGACTGATAACAATGATTGCATGTTCCCTATGTTCTCGCAAAAAATGTGAAAAACTTTACTAACGTATATTTTAACTTGTATGTTTAAAGACTTGTTAACATTAGACAACTGACAACAATATCTGCAATTACAATAAGTTGATTTTACTATATTTATTATATTTGAATTGATTACAAAAGATAATTTTAATAATAACTACTTTTTCTTATTTATTTCATGTTAATAATAATTTATTTTCAGGTTAAAGCTGATATTGATGAATTCAGAAAACATATGCCATTAATTCAAACTATATGCAATCCTGGTCTTAAGGATAGACATTGGGAAGAAATGTCAAATTTAATTGGATTTGAATTAAAACATACTGAAGAAACTACTTTAGATGATATGTTCGAATATCACATTGAAGAATACATTCCACACATTGCTGGAATTAGTGATGTTGCCACCAAAGAATATAATCTTGAGAAATCTTATTTAAAAATGAAACAAGAGTGGGAAAATGTAAGAATTAGTAATAAATTATTTATAATATAACTAAAAGGAAATTTATAGATCCATTTCATGTTTTCAAAAATCTTTTCAGACAAGATTTATTTTAGGTATACATGGAGATACAGAAACAAATATTTTATTATCTGTTGATGATATACAGCAGATGCTTGATGATCAAATTGTGAAAACTGGGACTATGATTTCATCTCCTTACATAAAACCATTTGAAAATGATATCAAGTCAGTTATTTTTTAACTATATTAATAATATTTTTAGTTGTTTATTATTTGTTTGTAGTGCATATTTAATGTTTATGAAGTTAAGAAGAATTAGACATAACAGAGTAACTTGGCTCAAATTGAATAAGAATATTTATATCTATAATATGTATTTTTTAGACACAAAATGAGCTAAAAACTAATAAACCATCAGATATAAAATATTCAATAATATTGATTTTAGAATTAGATTTTATTAAAATAATATTGTTGTTAAATTTTTTCTGTTTTAAAGAGTACTTGATTATTTTTATTGAAGTCTTTTTAAATTATAAATAATGTTGAGGATTATTGTTTTGAAACTATAGAAATTTTTTGGTTTTTTATTTTTCAAAGAATTAACAACTTAATATTGTCATAAATTATTGAATACATTAAATCTCTCCAAATAAAAATTTGTGATTTATGAGTATCAAAAGTCGTTACTAATATAAAACAAATCTTTTTATGATGAAATTTATGATAAAAATAATATATGATATAAATTAACTGTTATACAATAGAATCTGTTTAATGAAATTACAATTTGGTTATAGTTATCATTATCTTAGATTAAACAGACATTTTTAGGCTCTCTTTTGACAAAAAATAATAATAATTAATGAATGAATACTTAATATTTATATTTAAGTACAAATATTTAAAACAAACATTTTCAATTCACTTTATAGCTCATCCTTAGATGTGTTATAAGATATTCAAACTGTGGAACATAAAAAATTTAGCATACAAATTTCTAATGTCTGACAATTTAAATGCTCAAAATATAGTCCAATAAAGAAGATATGTACTAGCCACTGTGGTTACTTAGATGAATTACTTAATGCACTTTTAACAGTGGATTTTAAAAAGAAAAAGAGTACTAAGGTTTTTGACCCAGTTAATGAGCCAGTGTAGTGTACTGTACATCATCCTGACCATAAATGAAGAGACATATCAATGCAGCATATATTAGATACAGTTCCCATTCCATCAATCAGTCACTTAGCATAAAGGAGAGTAGGAACACTATAGTTTTGTCTTCCTGTGCACAACTTCCTGGCACAGAGGTAGATTGGCTGACAGTTAAAATTATCCAAACTGTCTCTTACCCTTTACATGTCAACATTGTCGTTAAATTTATAATCACTCTGTTATCGACAAGTGCATAAACAGCAGGGACAAGGACACCCTTTTTTCCTACTTGTCAATATCTTTCCACTTTTTCACATTAACTATTTCCATCATAGCCATCTCCCTGCTCTTTTATTGTATCAGAAACTATCCCTTTGTCTTTCCTTCTAACACTAGCACTCTTGGCTTGAAAACATTACTCATAGTTTATACATAAGTTTGTTTTTACTGCTAAGGTGTATATTTTATGAGTTTTTGTTACCAGTGAATAACATTGTTTTCATATGTTTTCATCCTTATCAGCTTCAATATCCTGAAGTTTCAAAATGGTTACAATAAGCAGATTCTATTATTATTGAGTATTTTTCAACACAATACACTTATCAATATTTATTTTTAGGTCTTGGGAAATTCAGCTACAATTACTTCAAGAAATTATTGATGAATGGTTAAAATTACAGCACACTTGGATGTATTTGGAATCTATATTTAGTTCTCCAGATATTATGGCACAAATGCCTGAAGAAGGAAGGTAGTAAAATTTTATCTGTAAGCTTAATAATTTTATATATTTAAACTATAATTTAATCTAATAATAAATTAATTTATTTATTATTAGATTAATATAATACATTATTATACTAATTTATTATATAATAATTTTGATTACTGTAGTTAACATTTCAATTGAAATTTATCTACTTAATTTAATTTCTTACTATTGTTTGATGTAAAATAATTTCTAAGTAGCACATCTTCAAAATAATATCTACAGTATAAGATATCATTAGATACTAAAATATTATTTTTGTATGTTTAGCTTATCAATTCATATTCATGATATTATTTGTTTTTAAATTGAAAAGTAATTTGGTTTATATATAATATATATAATTTAGTAGGCTTACAATAGTATCACATTTTATTATTACAAAGTAGATGGTACAAAGATCAATGTAGTGTAAGGATTCCATCTAATGGTGCATTGTCTGTCTACTCATGCCTTGGCACAGTATAGACTTTCCTATCTTGCAGTAAAAGACAGGAATACTTGCCTTTCTTACCATCTGTCAGGATGATGTGAGATATGGGGTAGTGAGACTGAACACAGACACACTGACATAGATTTATTATACAATTTACATTTAATGAATCAACAAATAGATTCTTATAGTACAAGGTTGAGATTTGAAATGTTTACAAGAGTAGTCAAAAAAGATGAGAAGGTGCTGACCAGATTAGAGTTGACAAGACCTTGGCAAGTGATCGGCTGTCTTGATGGGATTGATACAGATGAAACAATGGAGAGATGCCTGGTGGTCCTCCATCGGTGAGATCTTTTTTTTGTCACCAGGTTCCTTGGAAAGACATTGATGAAGGATAGATTTGTACTTTGGTTGCACGTTGAAGTTGAAGAAGGTCGGAAAGTTTTTGGGCAGAGACTGACTCATCAGATGGGTGAGTCTGCTGTCTGCTGAAGAAAGAAGATGAAGGTCACCAGAAGAAACGGATGTCAGCTAACCTGTGTCCTTGAGGACACGGGCTTTTATACAATTTTTGTTTGAAATTCCAATTTTTGGTTGATCTGAACTGTTCCCCATTGGGCCCTGAGCTGTTACCAGGGGTGCAATTCAGGTTGTGGAGTGCCAACCACTTCTTTCTTCCCCAATAGGGATCTGCTATCTCTGAAGGGTTGGGTTAGGTTCTTTCTTGAATAATTGTCTTGTAATTTATAGAAAATGTATTATTCTTCCCTTTCAAAGAGGATGCAACCATACATACATGATCCTGGCTGCTCCCTGTCCAAGGTTGCACTTTCTTTTTCACTTTTGACTCAGTGTTGGGTGACTGCAAAAACTTGGATCTATGTTACTCCCTCTCTCTCTCTCAGGTGATCTACAACTGGGAATATGACAATTAAATTTTGCAGCACCCAATTTCTTCACTTCCCCAGTTTTGTGAAAATGATATATCATCCATTTATTGATGTTGGTTCAACAGTGTCTCCCATATCTTCAGGTGAGTTCCTGGCCTCACAGTAGTGGTATTACTGCAGTGAGAAAAAATTGCACTGCATAGTTTGCTTGCATTGTAAAAATTCCTGAATTATTTTTAAAACATGCATGAAATAGCAGAAAAACATCACTAAGCAACTCTTCACTTGGATTTTTAGTTTAGGGAGATCTGTTTATCATAAGCATTCCTAAATTTTGCTGTCTAGCAGTAATGACAACATTAGGTAAGCAAACAAAGTAAAAGAAAAGTGCCATTGAAAAGCAAAACATAATTGCTGCTGGTTATATGTGCTCCATGTAGTGTCTGCTGAAAAATCTTCATTCAATTTAGGTGTCAAAAATGAGTACATAGTTACACTTGTAAATCAACTTTAAGTTTCTGTAAAATCAAACTTGTAGTTTTATGAAATTGTAAAATTTTTAACATCTATGCATTTGATAAGAAGGGGAAAGGAGCTATCCCTAGTTGGGATACTTTCTTTTCTGCATAGTCAGGGATATGAAAGATAATAATTACACCCTGGCTATATTTCATATGTATGCATTAAAAGTAAAATTGTTATAATCATAAATAATAGTATAAAAGTATCAAATTAATCATTATGCCAGTTAACCTGATAAAAGAGTTAACAGTCATTAACATAGTAAACTAATAATAAAGAATAATTAAATCAACTAACTTGATAATTTGATAAGTTTGATAATTAGAGAATTTGATAAGTTATTTGATTTATTGAAATCATTATTTAATGAACTTAAAAAATGTTAATGCAGTATACACTATTAAATGTTTTTTAAATTAATTGGCATAATGTTTTAGTTGAAATTTTTCTAAGTTCTACTAATGAATTGATATTTAATTAACTCCTTATAATTTTGATATCATCTGTAAGAAAATACTGATAAATTATCACATAAATGCATTTATTGTTTATTGTCTGTTGAATACTTTTCTGAAAATGACAATGCACTTGTTAGAAGTAATATGAAAATTTAAAAAATGTTATTTTAAAATGTCATATTAGTTTTTCTTTCATATCATTCCTCAATTTGTATTATGTTACAAAATATTTTATGGATTATTGATTGGAATATTTAAAATAAAAAAAACTTAAATAATTTAAAACATTTGGTCAGACTTTTTTTTAACTAAAAAACAAATCAAGCATTAAAAATTCAAAAACTTTGGAAATTTTACAAGTTAATCATTTTTAATTGTTTTAAAATATGCTGTAAAAAAGTATTTTTAGTTCTTGACACTTGTCATTTACTAAAGAATTACAAAATTAAATGTATTGATAAACTTTATAACAGTGAATTGTTCTCTTATATAAATTTTTCATATTTCTGTAGAAGTATAACAATAATTTGCATATTTTGAGTATATAAATATATATTTTAAAAACATTTTCTGATTGATAATTAAAATTGGTCATTATTTAAAGTGTACTAATACTTTTAACACAATAAAAGTTCTTAATTACTTTAACTGCATTTCTTTCTTTATTTAAAGGACACTAAATGAGTTTAACCCATTTAATCCCAATAAATTTGTTANGGCGTACTGTAGTGGGGGCGGCAGGGGTGGCCCACCCCGGGCGGCAAAATTTCACAATAAATAATAATAATATCTTGTAAAAATTTGAAACATCCTAATCCATACTTGCTTCACGCCTATGATAGTGCTATCGTCTGGACAGTCCAGGAATTGGTAATTTTTTTCATCTGAGGAAATCCTGCGAAACATGTTGACCTTTTGTTTTTTTTTGCTTGTATGATTCATTCATGCTTATATACACTACTAATATCCAATAGAACTATTTTAAACAGATCGCTGCACTACCACCAAATTCTTCATTGACAAAACTGAAGTTTTGGTCTTTTAAATTGAAATACCTAAATAAGGGGGACCGAAATTTTCCTCCACCTCGGGCGGCTGACACCCATGGTACGCCACTGGAAGTAAGTCTTCTCATCTTCAGAGTTTAATACATTGCTGTATACAACAAGAGAGAACGCTTATAGTTAATAATATTCCTAATAGTAACTTTTTTATTCTGTAAAAATATGTAAAATTTTAAATTAAATAACTATCTCAAATAACTAATTGGTGTAAGATTTATCAAACTGTAACAGAATCAAGTAATTGAGATCATATAAAAAAAAGACTAATTTTACTTGTGGAATATATATATATTATATACACGTACAGTCGACCCCCCCCAATAACACTGTTGATAATTCCGTTTTATATGAATTCCATATTGTACGAGTCACTTAGATTTTACAAATACATGAACCATTCACAGCATTCACAGTCCGGCACACGTATTTGCAAAATCTAAGCGACTCGTACAACATGGAATTCATATAAAACGGAATTATCAACAGTGTTATAGGGGGGTCGACTGTATTTATATTAAATACAGTCGACCCCCCCTATAACACTGTTGTGGCTATAACCCTATAAAAATGTTGTGGCTATAACCCTATAAAAATGTTGTGGCTATAACCACTCGGCAAAAGATTGCCCACAATCACAATATATTTGTAGCCATTGTACGGATGACCATTCGTTTAATGACTGCCCAAATTACGAAAAAGAACCAGTATGCTATAACTGTGAACACGAAGGATTACATAACGTCATGCATAACGCTAGAGATAGCATATGCCCTCTGCATCAACGCATCAAATCGTATATAGAATCTAGGACCGATTATGGCTCTGATTAACAATAATAGTATACATATTGTGCAAATAAATATTGGCAGAAGCATTTCTGCCACTTCAATTATAAGTAAAAATTTAAACAATTATGACATCGTGTTAATTCAAGAGCCATACTGTGTTAAAAACTCACCAGCTTGTTTACCGACGAATGTCCCAATATTAAGGGGTACGGATTCGTATCCATGGGCTATTTCCCTCATACCTAACAAAAATTACTCTATAATGATTCATACTGATTTCAGTTGTCAACACATAGTAGTAATGGAACTAATGCTTGGTAACAAAAGAATAATAATTTTAAATGTCTATTTCCCTGGGGGAGCTGAATCTGAGAACTTCATAGGTAATTTGCAACAAATTATAAATGCCTTTGCAGGCTCTAGCATTATTATTGCAGGGGATTTTAATGCACATTCTCCTGCTTGGGGAGGGGACGTATTCGATGAACGAGGTGGTTTGTTGGAGGAATTTTTTGGGCGGAATAACTTATATATCCTTAATAACCCCCTTTCCCCTCCTACTTTTACCTCACATAGAGGTGAAAGTTGGATAGACGTGGCTGTCTGTAATGGAGATCTTTATCCTATGATTAACAACTGGAAAGTAGATGAGGAAGACAGTCTTACGGAACACTCAATGATTTCTTTTGATATATTAAATGGTAGCAATAATAGTAATCAACCATATAACGTAAGTTCAAAATATATTATAAAACGTGCAGATTGGTTTGCGATAAAAGAATGTCTAGAAGAGAATTGGAATTCTAATTACTCAGACGATAAAAACATTGTCGTTGATCAAATAAATGAGAATATCGAACTTATAAATAAGGCCTGTAATAATTTTATACCAAAGGGAACCTCCGTCCGAAAAGCAGTACCTTGGTGGACACAAGAACTTGATGACTTACGAAAAAAAACCAGGAAATTAAGAAAATTATATCAACGATGTGGGAACGAACAACTTCGAACAGAACGTAGAAATGAATATCTTGCCAGCCAAAAATCATATAAGGAATTAATTAAAATGGAGAAATTACGTAGTTGGCAAACATTTTGCACCAACACCTCGAGAAATCCATGGGGATACTTAACGAAACTTTGTACCAACAAACTACGGAAAACGACTATTATGACAACATCATTACATAACCGTAATGAACCACGGACTCTTATACAGGAGCTAGCGTCACAATTAGACGCTTTCTGTCCAGAAGATAATCCTAGAGATGATACAGACACTCAAAAATTAACACGCATTGCTGTTAATAGTGTTTATGAGGCGGAAGATATGCCNACTCGTCATAAAACGATAAATAGTTTGTCAAATTTTTATTCATAAAAATGCAGTTTCAACTGCTTTTTATTTTATAAAATCCGTCTTCTTGCGGCACCAGAGGGCCTTTTAAACAATACGTAGTCTGTTAGCGTTGGTCAGTAGTAGTCCAAGTTTAATACGAACGTTTGTTTCTTGAAAATTTGATCGCGATTTAAATACAGTATTTACTTTTAATATTACCGATATGTCATCGAAAAGAAAACGTGTTATATTATCATTAAAAGACAAACTAAAGTATTTGTTTCGATTATCCGGATTTTCCCTTATCCGGACTACCTTCATCCCCAATTAGTCCGAATAATCGAGGTTCTACTGTAATTGTCATTGAAGAGGGTCTAGTAGTGAAGACTGAAATGTATCACATAAGTAAAATTAATTAGTCTTTTATATATATATGTTAAGTGAGTCTATAACAGGGGTTGGCAGTTTATCAAGTGAAGAGCCAAATTGTCATGGAAACAGGATAACAAAAGTACCGGAGAGCCACATATATGTAATATACATATGTATACAATATGGATTTTTAGGGGAAAAAGTTCAAGATTCTTTATTTAAAAATTTAATTAGAATGGTGTCCATGCATCGCTTTTGATAGCTTTACTATATCTGGCAAATAACTACTTATTTTTAATTGAATACATGATTGTAAATTTTCATCCATTATTCTGTTTCTAAGTTTATTTTTTATTTGGTTCATAGTTGAGAATGTTTGTTTGAATATGTATGTAGAGCCAAAGATTGTGAGAATACCAAAAGCTAGTTTTTTTAACCCATTATATGTCAGGCAAACTATTCCATGTATCATATATTATTGTTTCTATTTTAGGCAGTTGTTTTATAGCTATCCACTTGTGCTGAGAAATTAAATGAGATTTCTCTCTTTTGAGTTCTTCCAAGCGGTTGGTCGGATCTGTGAATTTGATCCTCCACAGTTCCCTGCTTTTTAAATCTATTAACTGCATCTGGAGGATCTGTGTCAAAAGGTGTTAAGTTCATTGACATTTATTTTGTGAGGATGTACGATGAAAGCTAGTGTAGCTTTATTTGCTCTGAATTGTTGAAAACGTTCACCAAAACTGTTCTTCATTTTTCCTAAATGGTGCCTCTAGTGGCCGTCTTTGACATAACATTACATGGATCAATGCGTTCAATGGGTTATATACATAGATATGCTTCAAATGCTACCACTCGCATGCGACTCATATTGATCAATGCGAGTGTGGTCATGTGCAGATGGGCTAAAGAGTGGTAGAGAGTATGCTGTACGAGTCGAAGTTTGTTCAGCGGCTCTATCTCATAAACTTATAAGTTATAAGGCTGCTTGAGATGAGGTGAAGTTAGAGTTTATGTTCGAATAGCCGCAAACATCTATGCAAAGAGCCGCATGCTGCTCGCAAGCCGCTCCTGTTGACCCCTGGTCTATAGTATTTTTTAACACTGATTCCACTTGATGAGAATTGGTAGCCAGGATTCACTCACTATTGTTTTATGACTCTATCTCAAAAGCAATATTTTTGATGATATTATGTCTTGTTTATAAAATCACAGTGCCGTGATGGCTGGATACCTTAGAGCAGTGATTTTCAACCTGAGGGTTGCAAAGCCTTACACGGGGGGTCGTGGATGAAAAAAAAGACAAGGGTTTGTAGGTCCTACACTACAATAAAAAAAACTAGAATTTTAGTGAGAAGACTGTGCCTGTTTATTTTACAATACAATTGGTTTTTCAATCAATATTTAAAGAAAGAAAATTAAATACATAGTTTTTAAAATCACTGATATAGTTTTAATATGGCCCTGAGAGTCGCCAGAATTTTTTAACTTGTAAAGGGGTCGTGTATTCAAGAAGATTGAAGAACACTGCCTTAGAGGTATGAAGGAGTACATGTCAGGAGTTGCAATTTGGCACAGAGTTATTTGATGCCCAAATCATGTGCACATAAAAAAACCAGACTTGTAGGTAGTCAGGGGGTTGAGAACTGAGTCAAAATAAAATACAAAATGGCATCACTCTTTCTACAAACAGGCACTAGTGCGAGATTTGCGCATGCATTGCTCGTTGGGAAGTTTGAAATGCAAACATTGTAAAATTAAATTATGACAAATGAATCTTTGTAAAAACCCATTTACCTGTCCTGTGTTATTTCCGACATATCTCTGGTTGCAACATGCTGACCTTGACAGTTGACCGAGATATCTTGTTTCAGCATCAGAACATTTTTGAAACTACATGGCACTAGTCTTTATAATTTTATATTAAAACCAACTTCCAGAATATAATTTTTTTTTGTTTTTACATTTATTAATATATTTATTTTGTTTGTGAAAAATAAAAGAATAATTTCAGATGATTATTTTTTTCAAAAATGAGAAATTTTCATTAGTCATCGACAAAAATTCAACCAAGGGTGGCACGCAATGGGGAGAAATTTCAGCATTGGATAGGTTAATTTCACCGAAAATGCCTCATGGATGACCTTGCGGTCATGGTCATGGCCATAGCCAAGACCAGCAATCTTTGATCACTCTCAAAACCAGCGATACCAAAGAAGATTGGTGAATGAGAATGGGACCCGCCATGAGTGTCAAAGTGATCCCATTTAGTAGTGAGTCTCCGAGACATAGTCTTATCCCAAAAATGGCCTTGCCATTTTACTTGTTATGTATATTATTTACTAATTCCAATATTCTAAAGGTTTTATTATTTTCTCACCAAATATAACAAAACAGTCATCTATGTACCTATTCAAGAAAACTATACTATTAATATTAACTATTGCTTGATCTATTGATAACATTGTTAACTCAGCCAATTTTGGGCCTAAACATGAAACCATTGAGATTTTGTCTTTTTGTTTATAAAATTGTTCATCAAAAGCAAAATAATTATTATTTAAAACAAACATAATTAACTGTAACCATTTTTTTTGTAAATTTACTTCCCACAATGTTTTATTTATCATCACTTTTGTGATAGAGGAATACATATTTTTAATATCAAAAGAAGCCATTTTATAATTTGGGTAAAAATTAACATTACTAATATTGCATAAAAATTTTTCAATACTATTAACACTTAATTCAGAATCTCTACCCATTGGTTATTTGAAATAATTATTTAATTTAATTTATTAGAGACAAGAGCTTACAACTATGTAAAATTTACTTAAATATGATTAAAATCTTATTTTAAAATATTTGACTGTATAATTGACTTGTATAATCAAGTAATTAAAAATATTATATTAAATAAATGGAATTATTTGTATTTATATATTTAATATTATTGTGTACTTGTTTATGTATTACATGATTATATTAATATATTAGAGATATTAATGCATATCAAATGATTAAATTTTTCAAATTAACTGTTAATAGTATATTTCATGCAACTTTTATAGGGCTTGAGTGGATATTTAGAAAAGAAACGCTTATTCTTTCCTAGATTTTTTTTCTTATCAAATGATGAGTTACTAGAAATATTATCGGAAACAAAAGATCCTCTGAGGTAATTTTTATTACAGAATTATTAAATATACTTAGAATTATTTATTAATTTAATGACCCCCTGTAACAGGCTATAGCCTTATATATAAATAAAACTTTGTTTGATTGATTATTAATTTAATGAATACTTACTTAAAATGAATCATATGACTGGACTCTGAATTATTTATATTAACTGTAAATGAGAATTTGAAAAATAAAATATATATTTGCACTGGAAATGAAAAATATTAAGGTGCATATAGTCTGTGTATGTATTTTTTTTGTCTTCCTTCAAAATTTTACATTTGTTCTTTAAGGTTCTGGTCACTGTTGTCAATGGCAGATTGTGACTCCTAGCAATGTCTGTTGGCTTACTATTTTTGACCTCTCATAAGATGTTGATTTGGATAACAGAACACTGACTATGAACATTTTATTTAATCATCACCTGCCTAAGTATCCATAATGAAATGTTAATATACTTATCTTCTTTGATTGTTTCCATTATTAGTTTCTGTGGATTTTTTAAAGCTTAAAATTTTTGGCTTTTTTTTTCAGTAACTTACATCACATACATAGAATATTAGGAAATACAGTAATTTTCATTTGTTTGAACCTTCTGTTTTTTTTGCTCTCTAATTAATAACTTGTTTCAATTTATTTAAATTTGTTTTGTTTAATTTATTTAATAAACTTCATTTCTGTTCATACAAACATCAATTACTGCTGTGTGGGTAACACAATATAATTATGATATCAATATGTCTGTATGCTAATAAGTTCTCATACAAAATTTGCCTTAGTTTTTTATTCCTGTGACATCTTCATTCATTTAAATTTTCATATGTGTTCTATTAGCTTTACAGATGTTTTTAAAATTTTATGTAAGGTAAGTTGCAGTCATGTAGTTCCTCTATGGCTAATAGAACAAAGAAAATATAAGGCAGTTCTGCAGATTTTTCTTCAAGGAATAAATAAATCTGAAACTTGAAAATATTAAAGAAACTTGATATACTATACTATTAAGAGATACAAGAAAACTAACAGTATTGAGACCTACTGAGAAGTGGTTATTTGAGAGATAAAGGACTACAAATGTTTAAGGATTTGAATAGCTGAATGAGAAATCCTTGCCAGTGCTAGAGAAAGATGGCCTTACAGATGAATGTCTCAAGACAAATAGTCATCTAATACTGAAAAAACCTCAAGCTTAATGCTTTAAAGCATGGTACCTACCATATGTTGACACAGACTCAAAAGAAGAAAAAACTGATTCATTGTCAATGCTTTTTACAGGGGTATGGAGATGATGATGTCAAAAAATATTCTCTTCACAGATGAAAAATTTTTTTACATTGGAGGAAAAATTTAACAAGCAAAATCATTGTATCTATACTAAATCAGTGCCAAAGGTATCTATTTGCATGTCTAGAAGTCTGAAAAGACATAATCCTGGAAGTGTGATGGTCTGGGCAGGGATCATTTGGCAAAAAAAGTGGTATTTTGTATCAACAGAGGTTTAAGTGAGTATCAGAAACCACAAGATAGAGATTCTCCAATTAGTGGTAGAACAGAACTCTGTTTAAAAATCAGTCTTGAACCTTTCAGAAAGATTCAGCTCTTCCCAAAGTGTCAATATTACACAGGATTGGTTAAAATAAAAAATTTCAGATTTCTTTTTTTAGGAAAAATGACATTTTTACTACGTCACATAGACCTGAACCTGATAGATTACTCCATATGGTCAAAATTTCAGCTGAAGATCTATGCTAAGCCCCACACAAGTGTTGAGGCTCTCAAGAAATATCTTTTTCAAGAGTGGTCTTGGAGAAGGGATTTCTCAAGAATAGTAAGTGCTGTCTTTCCCATGGAAAGCATCCATCCTGCCATAGAAGAATTGACACCAAGAATAAAGGCCTGTATCAAAGCATGTGGTGAATATTTTAACACTATAAAATATATGTTATCTACCTTATTACCTATTCGTTATAAAAAATGTGTTTGTTATAATATTACATTTTAATAAACTTGAATTGTAGACATTTATATTTATATCAGAACTTATTAGCATATCCTACTGATATGAATTATATATTATCATTCTATACATATAATATATAATTCATATCAGTAAGATAAAAAAATTGCTAGATTATACGATTAAAAATCCATATATTTATTGTTTTACACTACTATTCATAATGTATTGTGAAACTCATAACACATGAATAATAAGGAACTGATACCACAACAAATGATTTGATTAATCAATAATTTTACTAAACAAACTGTTCAAATGGTTACAAAGTTTGGCAACTACATTCCTTGCTCTTTTGTTCACTAATGGGTAGTTTCATTAAAATTTAGATATATAACTTTAAACCAACAATACAGAAATAACTTATAAACTAAATATGTGATATGCAAATTTGTAACCAACGATATGGAAATAACTTGTGTACTAAATATGCGATATGCATGCATCTAAATCTATTAGGAAGGGAAGTATTAGATGTGAAAGTGAAGAAAGAAGAAAAATTAGGAGGTAAGTCAGTTCCATGGAATAGATTACGCTTGTTGCAATCACCACTTTTTTCACTAACTTGAAAACAAATATCATTCACGAACGATACATGGTTAATATCCATGTCTGATGTGAATCTTCTTGATCTTATCAGTCTGATACAGTCTGAAGAGAATGAATTGAATCAGTTTTGTCCTCCTCGAAAGTTCTGAGCCTTGTCTCTAGACCACAATCGTTTTTCTTCATGCTTGTCCTCTCCAATTGACATGTCTGGGGTGGAGTCCAGTGGTGAGTATCACCAAGACTCAACTCCAAACTGAGGGGAAAAAAAGTTCTTTACTCTTGTTCTTACTTCCTTTTTATATCTTTCTGCAGAGTTTGATCTCCTCCTCTATGCACATGGCTCCTCAGGCCAAACCAGTAGTCAGTCCTCACTGGATTGCTGAAAAAATGTGGTAAAAGACAGATAAAACAGAAAGACAGAATAATAGAATGCACAGGGAATGCAAGGTAAAAAAAGAAGCAATAGGAAAGGGAAAATTTTAAGAAGAGAAGGAAAGAATGAGGGAAAAAAATAATAATAATTAGTACTGTAGCACTACAGTATTATCAATAATAAAGGGAGTTATGTGATGCTATATCAGACTTTTTCTCAAAGAAGGGAAGTAATCAAAACTGAAATATTTTAGGTATTTGTTAGGAAGATAAAGCATTTAAAAATATAGCTACTATTTAAAATGTACAAAAATATTATATATATTTATAAACAATATATATATGAAGTAAATATTTTTTTCAGAGTTCAACCACATTTAAAGAAATGCTTTGAAGGTATTGCAGAATTGGTATTTACAGATGATATGATGATTACAGATATGATCAGTTCCGAAAATGAAAAAGTATCACTTTTGGAAAAAATAATCCCAGAAAATGCTCATGGTCAAGTAGAAAAATGGTTATTGGAACTTGAAAAATTAATGAAGATTAGTATTCATAAAGTAATATTTTTATAATTTTTATGTTTGCTGGCAATAAATTTAATTTTAATTCTGTTATTTTCATTTTTTTGTCTTTATTAAGAACCTTTAAATCAAAGGAAATTATATTAAGAATTTTTCCATTTTATTGAATAGTTGTCTTATTTACCATTACATGAATTATGTTACTTGATAACTGAAAATTTGAATGTATTAATAATTTAATATGTAGTGATAAGAATTTAATATTATGATAATTATATTTAGATACATTGTGTTTTTGTGCATATAATCCACAATGGCATATAATCCATAGAAAAAATGGTAGAACAATTTAAATAAAGTTTTTGCATGACTCACCCATTGTATATACTGTGCTCTCATGCAATACCCCAATTTATAAACCATATTTAGAACCAAGTTCATTACCCCTAAGGAAAGGAAAATGAGAAAGACTGATAAAATTTTATGTGCTGAACATGAATTGGTGGGAGTATGGATGTTATGCACCACCATCGCTTGAGTGTTACAGAGTAATGTCCCTTTGTCATATCAAGAAAAGTGGAGAGCAAATTGAGATGCTCCAGAGTGGCTGGGCTCTAATGGAAACTTTTCAAACCCGTTTTGAAGTAATCACTCAAGGCAGACACCTTTTTATCAAGCATGCTTTAGACAAATTGAACCCAGAAATGATGGATGTTTTGAACCGTTACCCTTTTACTCACTGCATTACGGTCAGTGTTGGACTGGAGGTAATTTTGATACTAAATAAACACCACCCAATGCAATCTCTTCTAGATATTTTGTTTTATCCGCCCCAGAGAACAGCCACTCAGAAAATGAACAAACATGAGAAACAGAATCACCTCAGTCAAAACTTGGGAGCAAAATTGAAATGCAGCACAACCCTCAAACAGTACTGATAAAACACAATTAATGGGGCTAAATGAATTGAAAGGTTGAGATTTATCTCCTTGTACAGTGATTTGCAAAATTGAAGATAGAAAGGTACGGCTGTTTCCCTAATATCAAAAGTTCTTTTTCCCAACTTAGAACAATTGCAGTGAGTCAAAACTAGAGCAGTAGAATTAGTTAGCATTAACAGTCACGTTAGAGAAATGATTAGATAGTTTTAATTAAAATTTAGGATCAGATGATTAGTCTTTTATCATGATTGCCATATAGTGAACCCCAAAATTATTGAACCAAACAATAGGATTTTCGGTAGGGATATTATCGAGATGTACTGTACAATGTAACGATTTTGGTTAGGAACACAACATTAAGCTTTTCCTCAGGGGACACTGTAATCTTTTGGGGTTAGCCAACTTACAAGAGAATGTTAGTAGTCCTGAATTAATGGAAAAAGTCAAAAATAATCATGAACAAAATAGCACAAAGGCACATGTACCATTGAAAGATAATTTAAAATAATCCAGGATAGTGAGGATAAAAACATAAAAAATTCAAAAAAGAAAAATTCACATGAAAATTAATATACAGAAAGAGAAGCAAAAAAATTCAAGATAAGCAGTAGCTAATAACTTGACCAGGGAGAAAGCAACACTTTGGACAATGTTATGTTGTTAGACGAATACATCATTCCCCCATGGTCAAAGGTTATTGTAGAGAGAAAAGTCCACCCACTTGTGACTAATCAGCTAGGAGTAGTTGAACCTTCACCCCTTGAGAGGAAAGAAGTTTTTATTGCTAGTAAAAACACAGACACACAGTAGAGTATTTGTTAGAATTATGAATGTAAAGACACAACTGATAAAAATAAACAAAGGAAGTAAAATGAGAGTATTCTTTAAAGTGGAAGAGGAAATAAAAGAACATGCTGAGTGAAACAAAATAGTGCGATTAAATGAAAATGAACTGATTAGAGCCCAATTTGCAGATTTATTTGATTTAAGAGAAGTAAGGAAAGTCAAGCTGACTCCTTTGTTAGACTTATTATATTATTATTGTTATACTGTTCATGAAAGATGATTTTGATTTAGGATATTGCAATTTAAATGAGCATAAGATAGACACTGGAACAGTCCCCCAGTCTGTTGTGCCCCATACCATATTCCATACACCCAATGGGAAATAATGGATAAATTAGTAGTGGATGTGATTAGAAGTGGGGTTGTAGAAGTTGAACCATCCAGCTCTCTATGGGTCTGCACTTTCATTATTTGTCTGCAAAAGGGATCTTACAGATTTGTGGTGGATTACCACAAATTAGATAAAATCACAAAAATAGACCCATACTCATTGATCCACATTCAGGAGTCATTAAGTTTGCTGGGAAAAGCACAATATTTCACCATGATGCATACTTTAAGCAGTTTTTGGAAATTACCTCTGAGCCCAAACTCCAAGGAGAAGACTGGGTTCAGTACTCCATTGGAGCATTATCAATTCAAGTGGGTCACTATGGGCTTAAATAATGCTCTAGCAACTGTCCAAAAAGTGGCAGATTTAATATTAAGTGGCTTAACAAAATTTGTCTCATCCACATGGATGACATTTTAGTGTTTAGTCCTAATTTTAATTTGCACTTAGAGCGACTAGAATTAGTCCTTCAGCACCTTGTGACAGCTGGATTGAAGTTAAAACCCCAGTAATGCCAGTTATTAAGACAGCAAATAAAATTTTTAGGACATGAAGTGTCGGAAGAGGGTATACGACCCAATCCATCCAAGATAGAATGTGTCAAGAATTTCTCCTTACCACAGAATGAACAAAATGTAAGAGCATTCCTAGGACTAACAGGATATTATAGGCGACATATTTTCAAATATGCAAAATCTTTGAAGCCCCTTTCCTATTTACTAAAGAAAGATATAAAGTTCTACTGGACTGAAGAACACAAAGCGGTGTTTGGTCCAGTAGAATTTTAATCTGTACTTAAACTGTATAACTGACTGTAGAATCAATGACTCAGTTTTCTAAATGTATATCACTGTATAAAGTTTGTCAAACTTTTTGATAAAGACAAAGTTTTTAATATCACTTTTTCTCTAATGCAAAATTGCAGGTACCACAATCCATGATATATGGTATGTGGACTGAACTCTGTTAGCCATTACTTGTGTATCTCAGTCTATCAGTGTATATAGAATTTAAATAAATATGTAGAGTTAGATAATGTGTTAGGTTTCTTTTTGTATCCCAAACCAGCATAATTCCTACTCACCATATACTGGTGAGTCTTGCATATGTTGAATAAAACTAAAAAATATCATATCATTAAAATTAGTTATATATTTTTACAATCAACAAAAGATTTTCAAAAATAAGCGGAAATGATATCAAGTAGCTCATATTAAAGCATTTTATGCTTTTTTTTTATCCAAAAAGTATATGAACTGTGAACTATTTGGCAAAGGGAAGTGTTGCCTTTATTCAAAACATTTCATTACCTGGGAGTACATAGATCATTTCATATTAGGTGGTAAACATGTTTGAAGAATTTAAAACATAAAAGGTTAAAGTAATCCTTTTTCTACATGCCAGTACATACAAATCCTAAAATCATATTTCATTATTATTTATTAAGTGCACAATGGTAATAGGTCTAAAAATAGATGCAAAACTAAAAATATTAAAAAATAAAAAATATTTTGAAAACCAGCTTAAAGGCAAAACAAATTCTAAAAATAAAAAATGTGAATATAATTGAAAAGCACAATATTGGCAAAGCACTTTAAAGTGAGGTATGCCCTGTAGTTTAGTTTTTAATTTTTTAGTATTGTTGTGTGTAATTTATTAATAATTACTTTATTTTTCATATTCTACAGGTTCTTCTTGATGCAACAAATGCTTATGAGAACACTCCAAGAGAAGAATGGGTATTACAATGGCCTGGTCAGGCAGTTATTTGTGTGTCACAAATATTTTGGACAACATTAATCCATTATTCTATCTCAAGTGATATACAGGTAATAATACAACACAATGTAAAATTATTAATTTTCATAAATATGATTTTATTTATATATGAAATTGATTATTTAAATCAGCTATGTTAACTTAAGAACAATATTTTCCTATAAAAACTTACAATTTTCCAATTATTATAATACATTTAAGAAGTTATGAAAAATTACAATGAATATTTAATAATGTGTTGAAACATTCAAAAATATACTGTGGAAATCTAAATTTATTTAAACAAAAAGAATTTATAGTGATTAATAATACTGTGTATCATTACTACTATAAAATTAAACTATATTTTAAATTATATATGAAAATTAAAATTATGTTTTTTACCTCTATAGTTAAAATTAATTCAATGTTTTACAATATTACAATTTATTCGTAATTTTTGATTCAAGTTTTATTGCCATTAACATAGCTACCTGTTTGTGAAGTGACAATCATCCCATACTTTTTAATGCTTTTTTTTATAAAACAGTACAAATAGATAAAGACAGCTTGAAAAAGTTTTCAAATAGTAGTATAATAAAATATTCATCATTAACTAAAAGATAATATTAATATGTGGTATATTCTAAGAAAGCATTATAATACTATTTAAAACCTTATAATATAATTAATTACATAAATAAATTAAAATGGCAATAAAATGTGTTGAAATATAATAAATGTAGCTAAAAAGTAATTTTGAAAAATAGCCAAGACTTGGAAACCCCAGTTAAACACAAAGATACTTGGTCACACATTTCTTTTGGTGCAAGTTATTTGGTTCATCAGATTTTTTAAAATAATCCTACAAAAGAAGTTAAATGTGTTTTAGAATCTGCAATCTACTTAATGTTATTGGGTTCTGTTTCAGTTTTTTTCATAATGTAATTTAGGTGAGTTTAATTATTATTCAATAATCTCTAGTTATTATTTTTATTTCAGGAATTAGAAAATTATATAATAAAACAAAATCAACAGATTGAAAAAATTGTAAAATTAGTTAGAGGAGAATTGACCACTGGAAATAGAATTACACTTGGAGCTTTAGTTGTACTAGATGTACATGCAAAAGATGTTACAGAATTACTTGCAAAAGAAAGAGTTACGAATGAAAAAGACTTCAAATGGTTATGTCAGCTGAGGTATTATTGGGAGGTAATGTCTATTAAAATTAATATTTATATAAAATTTTATTTAGATGTTACTAAATATTATAAGAACTATTCATTTAAACATTTTATTTAAATAACATACTCTCTTTATTCCTGTAGCAATAGTCTGTTCTTATAGATTAAGATAGTGTACTGTGCTGTATAAGCTTTTTGTTTCAAAATTTTGTTTGTCTGCTTTTGCATATTGTCTGTGGACTATATATTGAAACTGATGGTGATAATATAACTCATTCCTCCCAGCAACAGGAGATCCTTGGGGAACCCGTGCCATCTCATGGTATTTTTTGCAGTTTAGAAAATATTTGATAACAAAATAAGGAGAGATTGTGGGAAATCTTTATGTTGTGGAATTTTTGTTTTTCAATCAATTGGAGTTTATTTTCGAGGAAACTTTATGTAATTCTTCAAATTGATACCAATTTCCAATATAAAATTTCAAAATGACAAAATGAAAACTCTGCTATAGCTCTATTGAAATTTCTCAATGATTGCCTGCAGTGGGGATAATCCAAGAGAAGACACAGTAATGGGTGAAAAATTTCTTTTTACAAGTTTAAGTAAACAATAAAAACTTGTTTCATGCAATTTAATTACATGCAGGGAAAAATTAAGTCACAAGCAGTTCAAATAAAAAAATCACATACAAAGAAAAATTTAAGAAATTATGAACAAGTTAAAAATAGATTTCATTTATAATTCCAACATATAGTATTCATATGTGCTGAACATAAAATTTTTACTCACCATAACAACAGCCAGTATTTCAGAGTCCCACTAATAGTTATTCAAGTCCTCCAACAATTGACTGAGTCCCTTATGTCTAATTCTTCTTTTCTTTTTGAATCTGCTTTTTTTCTTATATCTGCATTCTTGAGTCCATCTATCTACTTCCTGTTTTCTCAAATGACTCTTGACTCTATATTTCTTCATTAGTTTTCTAGAAGTTCCCAAGGACTGCCCATATTTCAACATGTTAAAATACATCAGGGCAGTCATGCTTGAGAACAAAGGAGTACATTCAAATATAAAATACAATAAACGATGATCATCAGACCAAACAAATGATTTTTCTGTTTGTTTTTTCTTTTAGGCCTTCCATTTCTAAGAATTGAATGATTAAAAAAGAAAAATTGGCATTGAATAAGCAATTCACTTACAAGAAAACTTGCACATTTAATTTCTTTTTATATGTGCATGTGCAAAAAATGGATAAAGTTAATCTGGATTTTCAATTCACATGCCTACACAGTATAGAGCCACATTATAGCCTACATAAAAATTTAACAGTACTGTATAATTATTAATTAATTAAACAAGTCTATTAATGTCTGTTGCTAATATTCAAAAAATAAATATTAAATAAAAGAAAATAAATGATAAAAAAGTGGATTTCAAGTTTTTTATAATTTATTAGCATTAGAAATAGCATTATTTAATTTAAAGTATTTATTTCCTTTTTCAATAAATTATCACAGTTAATTGTATAATTAGTGTTTATTTTATTTATTATATTTACATTTATCAAAATATTAAGGTCAATAATAATTTAAAATATTAAATTTAATTCTTAATATTAAAATATTTTGTTTTCTTAAAAAACTATTTATATTTAACAAAAACATTCATATTTTTTATTAAAGATTTCTTTTATTTTATATTAATAAATAAATGTATTTTATTAATTAGGAAAAGGACATAATCACAAGGATGATAAACTCATCTTTATCATATGGATATGAATATTTGGGTAACACTGAACGACTTGTAATTACACCTTTAACTGATAGATGTTATCGGACACTATTCAGTGCACTTCGTTTACATCTGGGAGGGGCTCCAGAAGGACCAGCTGGAACTGGTAAAACAGAAACAACTAAAGATTTAGCTAAAGCTATTGCTAAACAATGCATAGTATTTAACTGTTCTGAAGGATTAGATTATGTTGCTTTAGGAAAATTTTTTAAGGTAAGTAGAATCTATTTTGTTTTAAGCATAATTTAATTATGAAAATTTTAGAATTTTGTTTTTTATTGTATTTATTTATATTATAGTCAAATTTTAAAAGTTGATTACAGTGTGATTAAATAAAATGGATCATATGATTTTAGTCTTTTTATTATATCAAGCAATAGAATAAAATAAATACAATTATAAAATATCATTACTGTCTTATTTGAAATGAATAGTGAAGGTATGGCACATAAGAGTGTAAATTGTCATTTTGACACTACAAATGAAAAATATTGTATGTATATACCATGTGTCAACTCTGCTTTTTAATTGTTCAATATATGTATAAAGAGGTGAGAATGCCATATGTTTATTTGTTTTATACAATGTGTTGGATAAGGAACAACAGAAGAGAGGCAAGAGCCCAAAACACATATTGGCATCTAAATATTAAAATAAAGATGAATGTAAAGTAAAGCCTATTGCTTCATTGTGCAATATGGACAAATATAAAATATTGGTTATAGAATAAGCATTTGAATATCAAAATTTAGTTAAATTTATTTTAAAATAAAGTAAAGTATTATTATGCAATTACCATACAAATTAAAAAAAATTTTATTTAACATAATTAAGTTTATGAATTTAATATTTCAAATTTGATAGAATATGTTAATATTATGAATGTTTTTATATTCTATTATCAGTTTTGATGCGTTGTTTGAATTGTCAGAGTTTTAACGTTGGATTTTGTTAACTGAAAAAATCTCAGTAACTTTTCATTGTAAAAGCAAAATGTAGATTTGTTTTCATAGGAATTAAAGCAATTGTAAAATATGAAAATTTTTTATACAAGTTCTATAAATAACATATATGTGATTTAGAAAACAGAATTTTAATAGATATATAAAGTGATTTTGATTTAAATAAAATTCAGGAGTTTGAGAATGAAGATGAATTACATTTTTTAATTATTTAATAAGTGAAGAAAATAGCTATTTTTCTTATAGATATATACCAGGCTAGCGAGTTCCTCTAGGTCTTGGGTGTAACCAAGCAACTGAGGGTTGTTGTTGTACATGAAATCCAATAATGCCTCCATACATGATTCAATCCTTACTGAAGGATACGTACTTTCATAATCTAAAATGGTCGCTACTTTGTCTTCCATTAAAGAAATATTTTGCACTTCCTTCACTACGACAAGAGGATCTTTTGCCACCAGTCCATCATCTTCTAGTTGTGAGGATAAATATTCATGTAGCCTTTTTTCTAAGATAAAGGTGGGCCCTATAGATATATAATACAGGGCCAGCTCTAGGTGGGTACAATGTGTGACCATCACATCATGCAACTGCTAAGATGCAAAAATTTTAAAAGGCAGCAAAATTTGCCTGATTTTTCCTTCATTCTAGTCTGATAAATACATATTTTTTATATTGTTTTTTTAGAAATTAAAAATAAAAAATTTCAAATTCAAATAAATCTAGAAGGAAATCTAAATATCTCATTTAGAGGTTCATCAAATAAAATTTATGAAGAAAATAACTAGAATTTTTTGAAAATTTTGAAATTCTTAGCTGAATTTGATCCATTATGGAAAAACATTTAACAAGACTAAGAAAAAATTGAATTCTGTTCACTATTTAGGAAAAACCATTCAAAATGAAATTTTGGAACTGATCTGACAAAGCATCAAAAGTAAAATTTTAAAAAAGTGCAGGATTTTAATTATTATGCATTGAGCGTTGTCTGTACAACAAACACAAGCCATCAGGAACAAATATCAGTTATGGTTTTATATTTTGAAGTGGATCTCAAAAATAATATTCATATCCAATCAAAGGTTCAAAAGGAATTGAATTGACACACACCATCATTGATTAACTGGAAAAATATAATTTATCAGTAAAGAACATCAGGGGTCAAAGTTATGACAGTGGTGCCAACATGAAAGGTATTCAAAATGGCATTCAGGCCCACATTTTGAAAAAAAATCCACGAGCAATGTACATTCCATGCCTCACTCACACTTTGAATTTAGTGGTGGTTGATTCAGTGCACAGTTCACCCAAATCGCACAATTTTTCAACATTATTGAACAGGTTTTCAAATTTTTCTCAGTTTCTACGAAAAGATGGGGCATTTTACAATCTAAGTGTCCATCATTTACAGTCAAATCATTAAGTGATGCATGCTGGAAAAGTCATATTAATGCTGTTAAGACTCTAGGATTTGAATTACTTAAAATTTATGAAGCATTACAAGACATTGCAAAAGAATCTAATGATGCAATTACAAAAGTTACAGATGAATCCATTGCATCAAAAATTACAAATTTTGATTTTTTATGTTCAATTATAATTTGGTATGATGTCTTGTTTGAAGTCAATATATGCAGTAAACAATTTCAATCCCTTTCAACAAATATTTCAGAAAGCTTAGAATTGCTAGAACAAACAATTAATTTTTTGAAGGAAAACTGTAACCAAAACAAATTTAATTCAATTGTTAAAGAAGCAAAAAAACTTGCTGGTATTTTAAATGTGGAAAATGAGTTTGATTTTCCCACAGAAACTTTGGGACGACAATGGAAAAGAAAAAGGTTTTTTGATGAGGAGGAAAACATCAAAGAAAATTTAAGCCAAATCCAGAAGTACAAAAAAGAAGTTTATGATAAAATTTTTAGTTGTGCTCTTACTTTTTTGGAAGAATGATTTAAAACATTTCAAACTGGTATTGAATCATGCTAACATTGTCCATTACAGTTGCTGCTACGGAACAAAGCTTTTGAAGCTTAAAATAATTAAAAACTAAGATTGATGGTGAGTCAAGAATGACTTAACAACTTCTGTGTATATATATTATATATATATACACAGAAGAATCTTCATATTTACTCTATACTTAATAATACTTTATAAAGATTTATTAACAAATATTTTGATAGAACAGCAAATAAGATAAGTGAATTTCAAAGACCAGTTTGGATTTATGCTTGACAGTGTGTAATAATATCAATAGATATTGTTACAAATTGAATAAGTCCATTTGTACGAGGGCTGTTCGGAAAGTTTGCAGCCTTGCCTATATGCGGCGCTGCGATCAATTTAATTTTTGGCGGGAATAATTCAGCCATCTTTGCTAAAGATACGATACCAATTTCCGCTTGATTTGTCAAAAAGTTTTGCCACGACAGCTTAGCAGATAGTCAGTGTGCACATGCTTTGTCAAAAATGGAGAAGACGGAGACTCGTGCGGTCATAAAATACCTGACGAAAAAAGGGTTGACCCCATCTCAAATCAAAGCTGACATGGATGAAGTTTTAGGAGAGTCTGCTCCTTCGTACACCACTGTGAAAAAATGGACAGCCCTTTTTAAATCTGGCAGAGAAAGTGTGGAAGATGACCCTCGCAGCGGACGGCCGTCAACTGCTGTCACTGAAGAAAACATCGACAAAGTTCACGATTTGGTATTAGCAGATCGCCGTTTGAAAACGCGTGAGATAGCTGAGACAACAGGCATCTCTGTCGACCGAGTGCACCACATCCTAACCGAAGATTTGGGTATGACGAAGGTCTCAGCAAGGTGGGTGCCGCATCTGCTGACCGCCGAGCAAAAACGTGTTCGCACTTTGATGTCAAAGGAGTGTTTGGACTTCTACCAGAAAAACCCACAGGATTTCTTGCGTCGGTTTGTGACTACTGACGAAACGTGGATCCATTACTACACTCCTGAAACAAAAGAACAGTCGAAGCAATGGAAACACCACAGTTCGCCACCACCAAAGAAGGCAAAGACAGTTCCATCAGCGGGTAAAGTGATGGCCTCGGTTTTTTGGGATGCTAAAGGCATCATCTTTATTGACTACCTAGAAAGAGGAAAGACCATTAATGCTGTCTATTACTGTGAACTTTTGGAAAAACTGAAGAAAGAAATCGAAGAAAAGAGGCCACACTTGAAGAAGAAAAAGGTTCTGTTCCACCACGATAATGCACCTGCACATTCCGCCAGAATCACTGAACAAAAGATAAACGAACTTCGCTTCCAATTAGTTCCACATCCACCGTACTCACCTGAGTTGGCCCCCAGTGCCTTCTACCTTTTTTCAAACCTAAAAAAATTCTTGGCTGGAAAGAGATTCCACTCAAATGACGAAGTCATCTCTGAAGTCAACGAGTATTTTGCACACCTTGACAAATCGACCTATTGTGATGGCATAAAAAAGCTAGAACATCGCTGGAATAAATGCATTGCTAACAAAGGAGCCTACATTGAAAAATAAAAAAAGTTTTAACGTTATTTTGTTTGTTGTTCTATTTGAGGCCGCAAACTTTCCGAACAGCCCTCGTATATATCAATAGATATCATTACATCTCTATAATGACTGAAAAGTTTAGACAAGTAAAAATGTTGTATTTGCTCTTTATCAAATCAAGAAGACATGAAAATATTTTATAAAATATATATTGGAAATAGGATTATAATTTATTTTTAATAAGATCCATAAGATCCATTTTTGAATTTTTTCAGGTTTTCTTTGTAATTTTTTTACAATTTTATGTAAAAGAAAGTTTTATCTTTATTTTCAGGGATTAGCTTCATGTGGAGCTTGGTCTTGTTTTGATGAATTTAATCGAATTGATGTTGAAGTACTATCTGTTGTTGCCCAACAAATATTAACAATCCAACGTGGTATTAATTCAGCTGCAAATACACTATTATTTGAAGGTACTGTTATACGATTAGATCCTACATGTGCAGTTTTTATTACTATGAATCCTGGATATGCTGGTCGAAGTGAGTTACCTGACAATTTAAAGGTAGCTATATTAATGAATTTTATAAAACAAAGAAAATTTAATAATGTAACTTTATGTATAAATCACTGACAAGAAATGTTTGGAACAAACTTCATATTAGAAAATTAACTTAAGTGCTCTGATGGAAAGAGGATCCTAAGTATAATATCAAAAAATTGTAAAAATTCAAAAAAGTAAAATATTTTATGTTTTGTGAGGCATCAAAGTTTAATACTAGATGCTCTTACCACATGATGTATATCCTCTGTTTATTTTTCTAAAAGTATGTAACTATTTATTCTCTTTATTTAAACTTACATTTTCTTATATCTTGATATCTATTACTGTTTATTAAAAACTTTTAATGTCTAGATTACATAATTGTAAATAACACATGTGAAGTTAATAGTGAATTACAAAGAATTATTAAAAATTATAAAAAATTTGCAGAGAATATTGAAAATAATACAAAATGCCAGAATTTAGCCATAAAGGCTGTATTCTTTCTTCTTAACTTATGTAACATAGATAACATTAACAAATGGAAGTAATTTATATTAATATATATTTAATTTATATAATTCAAAATTTTATAATATTTAAATATAATTATTAAAATTNCAGATGTTGAAGATGAAGAAAAAGATGAAGAAGAAGATATGGGTAATTATGTTTTTAATTATTAAAATTATATTTTATAGTTAATAATATTGATGTAACATAAAATATAAATATTGTCAGAACTGAATACTGTTTATAATATGAAAATTTTTAATTTAGACTTTATTTCGTCCTGTTGCTATGATGGTTCCAGATTATGCAATGATTGCTGAAATTTCACTTTATTCCAAAGGATTTGTAAATGCAAGACCATTAGCAGTTAAAGTTGTAGCTACTTATAAATTGTGTTCTGAACAGTTGTCATCTCAACCTCATTATGATTATGGAATGAGAGCTGTAAAATCTGTAATAGCTGCTGCTGGCAATTTAAAGGTAAATAAACCTTAAATACGAGCCTTTTTTTTAAAGTGGGTTTTGGAAAAAAATGAGTTAATAATAGTTTTAGTGAGGCATAGATGCCCTCTTTTTTATATTTATAACAACAAAGTCAATGGTGTACAAATATCCTCATAAATTAATCAAAAGAAGTTTAACTGTAAAATGTTATTGTAAGAATGTTTTTTGTGAAAGTGGAATAAGTTCATTCATAATAATCAATAATTGAAACAACTTTTGTTAAAGTTTTTATAATGGATAATAGCTAATTCTAAGTGTAAAAGAGAAATAAGATTGAAATATGAATACATTTGTTATTATTATAAGGGTTGCCTAAATGAAAAGTTGATACACATCAGAACTGACAAACATTATGAATCTAAAAGAAATGCCCATGTTTGTTTAGGCAAAGATCTCAGCATCTCACAAGTAGATCGATGCCCCTTATGTAGAATTTTGGTGGCTGCTGGTAAAAAAATTTTTGACCCTATCCTTGGCCTCTTCATCCAACATGAAACTTTATCCTTACAAAGCTTTCTTAGAGGTTTGAAAATGTGAAAGTCACATGGCAACAAGTCAGAATTATAAGGCAGATGTTCTAATAGCTCCCAGCAGAATTTCTGGAACATTGCACTAGTTACACTTGCCATATGGGAACAGACATTGTCCTGAAGCAGGATGACTTTTTGTGAAAGGAGTCCTGCGTCTTTTGACTTTATTGCTTTGTGCAGCCTTGACAGAGTTTCACAATAGCATTCTGAGTTGATCATTGTGTGTAGTGGCATGAAGTCAACCAACAATGACTGATGCAGTGGAGATTATGGTGTATGCCTGACCTGGTCTCAGTTTATTTTGAATTGACTTGTGGCCTTCTGTGTAACTCTTGCATCAATTATTCACTGCTGATTGTTCTAAACAATGTTCACTATAAATGTATTTCATTTGTCTATAGATGTCAGCACTCCTATTCTCTTCAGCCTCTAAAAACTGAACTACTGCCCATTATTTGATTCTGGACATTTCCATTGTAACTAACTTAACATTAATCTGCCAATTACTGGAGATATAAGTATTCCCATGAGTACTTAATGTAACCCGTGCTTTGCATATGTTGAGTTTACCTGCTTGTAATGTGGCACCAATCACTACTTTGCCCAATGAAATATGACACATGTCCATTTTTCATTTTGGCAACCCTTATATTTATCTTAATGAAGTAATTTACTTTTCATAGTTACTGTATTTATAAATTCTTATATAATATAACTGAAAATATTTCTTAATAAAGTCAATTGACTTTATTAAGAAATATTTCATTTATTCATTTACTTACATGTTCTCATTTTAATTATTATTTTTTTACAGTAAAAAAATACATTTCATAAAAGCCAACTTTAATTAAAATATAAAATTGTTATTGTTCATATTTTTCATAATTTGTTATTATTGAAAGTGGTATAAGTTCATTTGTAGCTTAAAAAAATCATATATTTTCTTTAACAATTTCATTAATTATTATTACATAATAAAATTTAACAAGTTTATAGTTTTAAAAACATTGCATGAATAAATGGACTTATACCACTTTCAAAAACAATGGCTCATATATTATAAATATACTCTTAAAAATTGTGTAATGATAAAATTTCATTTAAATTGAAGATAAAATATTGATTAATTTTTAGATTGTCTTCTGTTTTAGAATATTTGGTTCCATAGTAATCAAAATAAATTTGAACATGGTAAATTTATATGAATATTGTGAATTTTAATTATTTTAAATCTATATTATTCAAAACACAAAGGTTTTGTTATAAATACAATAATTTTAACATTATCTATTAAAAAAAGTATCATAAAACTTATTTCCATTACTACTTATTTCAATAAGAACCAAAACTTGTGATGTCTTGACAGAAGAACTAGTTGTTTAAATGAAAATTGATGTTAAAGCTGAATGTATGTTTCCTGGAAACATTTTTATGTAAAATTATATTCAAATAGATTGTATAGAGAAGTCAGTAAAGTCAATTTTTATCAAAGAATTAACTTAATAAATATGCACTGTTAAATTTCAATGCTTTAATTTTCAGTTTCATTACTTTTGTGAAGATCCCAAAATTAATATTACCTTGAAACTACCTTACAATTTAAATAAGAGGAAAGTAGGATACAGAAATTAGAAAGATAGAGATAGAAAGATCAATAGTGAAATTACCTAGGATTTATTGGGGGATACTGTTCCTTGCTTACAAAATGGGGTCCACAATGAATTCTTCTGGCTTTATGATTTTCCGTCTTTCATCACAAATATAGTTCTGTTGCTTATCCAACTTTGTAATGATCAAAAGTCTCTGTTCAGAAAGGAGCAATAATAAAATTTATATCCTGTTGAGCCACACAGTACTTGCCGAAACTTAACCTTTTTCACTCTTCCATTCTTACCTCCTCAGACTGAGGACCTCTGTGCATCCTCTCCAAAGTTGAGCTTAAGAGTGGCCAGTTTCTCTTTCCCTTTGGGCCCATTGTCGTTCTCTCTATTGTTATCAATGTTTCTTGGAACAGACCCCTACACATTGACAAAAGGATTAAAAAGGGATAGAAAATTTTAGAAAGGGAAGGTAAAGAACAAAAGATGTTGAGAATTAAAGTAATTAAAACATGAAAATTTTAAATAAATAAAAAAAAGGCAAGCAGACACATTTTTAATCTAGTTTTATGTGTTATAGATGTCAGATGGATTGTACTGGTCAATTAACTTCTATTTTGGTTTTAGTCACTCTATAACAAGAGTATCTACTTACATATATATTCCATACTTACCAGCTCTTGGTTGCAGTCGATGTTAATTTTAGAAAAGTAAAGATGGACTTTGTAATGGGGAAGCAGACATAGAATTTTATTCGTTTCTTCACATACAATATTTTGGCATCTATGTACAGCATTGTTAATTTTGAAATGTTCAAATTCAGAATGGACTTCATTCAGTATTTTTTTAAGAAATTTCTTGAGCAGTCAATCTTTCGTTTCTAGGAGTAAGTTTTCTCTTATAATTAGTGCACTTTTTACTTGTGTACAGATAAATACATAGCTTCCCTTGTTTATCACAGGCTATGATTTCACTTTTCTCATACTTATTTAAACAGTTTCATGGATCATTTTTGAAAATAAATAAAAAAAAAGCATAAACTTTCAACATAGAGGTAAAATCAGAAAATTTTTATTGATTCATATATATTTTGGTTAGTAATGTTTTTAATGAAATAACCAACAATCACCTGAAAGATTGGACTAGAATTTCTAGCCCAATCTTTCAGGCGATTGTTGGTTATTTCATTATATACTCATCAGGCTTTAAGATGTTTATTATATAACTAGCAGGTGGGCCCGGCGTTGCTCGGGCAAAAGTAACGATAACTAAGATAAGGATTATTACGTTACAGTCAACCTTACCCATTTTCACAGAATGCAAGAATTGGGTCCCCTTAGAGAATTTTTAGATGGGTCTAAAAATATGTTCGATTTCCCGCAAAAACGAAAAAAACTGCATTTGCGTATTGCACGTCGCTTTCTCTTAATAATTCCATTGTTACGTAACATTTCCATTGTTGACACTTCCATTGTTACTTAAAACTTTTATTGTTACTTAAAACTTCCATTGTTACTTAACACTTCCATTGTTACTTAGCACTTCCATTGTTACTTAACACTTCCATTGTTGATGGAAGTGTTAAGCCTTAATCCTGTCCCTCTCCCCCGTGGGGAGGAATTTCGAAAAATCCCTTCTTAGTGTGCGTTCTCCTAACGTACCCTAACTGTGTACCAAATTTCAACTTTCAACTCCTAACCGTTTGGGCTCGTATCCATAATGTATATAGAAGTTTTAATCCTGTCTCTCTCCCCTCCCGGGGGAATTTCGAAAAATCCCTTCTTAGTGTGCGTTTTCATGACGTACCCTATCTGTGTACCAAATTTCAACTTTCAACTCCTAACCGTTTGGGCTCTGCGCTTATTATTATTATTATTATCATCAACCCGTCTCAATTATATATTAGATAATGTTTTTAAATGTCTAATAACTTTGAAGTTTTTTGTAAAAAATAATTATTTTCTGTGTGCTTTCAGTTAAAATATACATTTTAAATTTAATTTATTATTTAAATTGGTTAAATCTATAAAAACAAGAGGGGCCATATTGATATGAAATATACTGTGTATTGTCTTTTTTAAAGAAACTTCAATAAAAGATATTGCTTTTTTTATGATTTTATATAAATATGTATTTAATGGAAATAAAATAAAAAGTATTTCTTATATAAAATTGAAATATTAAATAAAATAAATACTTTTAACAATAAGTAATTCTGTTTAATTCAAATAATATAACTAGCCAATACATTTAAAAAGGTATGAAACAAAATAAATCAATCTTATTATGAATATGCTATAAGCTATAAACTTTATTTTTATTTTATTATTAAATTCTTGTAAATTATACAAAACACATATTATCTAAGGTTTAAAAAGCAATATTTTATTAAATAGCTTTGAAAAAATAATAAAATAAATTTTAATGATAAATCATTTATTTGATTAATAAAAGAGGTCTTATTTAAAAAATTTTTATAGCATAAATATCCTGACAGTGAAGAAGATAAAATAATGCTCAGATCTATCACTGATGTTAATCTACCAAAATTTTTAAGTCATGATGTACCTTTGTTTGAAGTAAGTATATTACCAGTAATTTAACTCAAATTCTTAAAATTAAGATTTCTGGACACTTTAGTTTTTGAATAGCTGAAATGTTGAAGCTCTGAATATTACAGTAAATATCAGACATTTACTTTTAACTTTATAAATCTTTTGGTTATTTCTTATGAGGGCAATTCATGCTAAATTAAAATTTTAAATTTAATTATATTAGATGTTGTTAAAAATAATCTTTGAAACCAGATTAACTTTAAAAAAAGCAGTTTTATTAATTGTATCTTTTTATTGAATGTCAAGAACATTCATTAAAGATGTAACATTCACTTCAAATTATCTTCTATCTGTGTCTTCTGTTACAAGAATTTGAATAATCTGTATAAGATTTAAAAATATATTCCTTATAAGATATTAAAGATAAAGTATTNCGGTTCAGTAAGCACTAATTGGTCATCGAGTCCGATGTTGACGCTATGAAAAGGCGACAGTTCGACACACCGGATATACGTCACTCTCATCTATGTTCGACTTGGGAATTTTTTTGTTCAATAATAAATGTGAATTCTTCTTCCAGGAAAAAAATAAGACATTCCCTGAAAATAAGACCTAGCGCATTTTTCAGAGCAAAAATTAATATAAGACACTGTCTTATTTTCGGGGAAACACAGTACTTTTTCCATCAAAAAAGAGCCCTGTTACATGGTGTATAACACGGGGAAAATATGCCAATGGTTAAAAAAAATGACCCCCCTAAAATTTTTATGTTTTTTAATTAAGAAGACCGTGAAACGTTGGGAAATATTTTTAAAAAAATTGGAATTTTTTTCTGTATCTGTGTTTGGGGTGCACAATTTTGTTCACCCTCTTTGAAGCCTAATAACTCCTGTACTTTTTGTCGAAAATTTCTGAAATTTTGTAAGGAGGTTTGTATATTAAGGGGATTGATGCTATTAAATTTTAGTGATTAAAGGTAGAGGGGTGGGGAGATAAAGAGGGACATGTATATCTCCAGTACGATCAGACATAATGACGATTTTACTCAATTGCATTTACAATTTTTTTTTTTATAAGACCCACCATTATTCTGAAAATTAAGCATTTTGTCATTTTATAATAGTTAAAATAAAATATGATAACAGATGCCACCAAATGTCGTAGGAAAAGTTAAGCAAGTAAATGCTGGATATTTTTTCTTCTGAAAAAGCTCAAAAGTACTGTACATAGCCTATAGTGTAACTAAATATTAGTAGAGTAATTCCCGTTATTTTTTGATTATTCAACTATAAAAATGTACTTTTATAAGTACAGTATATTGTGTTATTGTATAAATTCTGGTAAAAGTACAAAACAGAAGTTTTCTGGGCGAAAAACGGGAAAGTTATACATGTTCATTTACAAATATTAAATAAAATAAGATTTTACTAATGCATAATTTTTTAAAATAAATTATCAAACGATTTTTTCGTGCAATTTTTTTCTGAGCGGACAGAAATACAATGAAACACTACAAATATATTAATGTTTAATCGTATATTCCTCTGTTGTCGAAGCAAAGCTTTTACAACACAATAATTATTTTACTGTTTACATTAATTCCTCGTGTCTCTATTTCCTTAATATTTCAATTTTGTTTTTATATTGTCCACGTAGATCTTGTTTATAAAAAAGACTTATTATAATGGTTGAGTTTCGAATTAGCAAAGGAAAGAAGTCTTGGTCAAAAATAAAACAAAAAGTAGCTTTATTTTCACTTGTACTTAACTTCTATGCCCTCCTCAGCAGGTTTACAATAATCAATAACGATTACATAAAAATTTATTAAAAATAAAATATTACACTCGACAATATTAAAAAAAAACAGTTAAATCTTCTCTATTGTTTAATAATAATAATACAACAATAATACAGATATACAGCATCCAAAACACAGAGCTAAACATAATTATAGTGGCGTTAATTTACACCTTATTTTCCTGTATAAAATAATAAGGCTTTTAACAAGTTTTTCTTTAACTTCTGTGCAAAGTGTTAAAATTCTTTATTTACATTTTCAAATTTTTAGGGTATAACTTCTGATTTATTTCCTGAAATATCTCAACCACCTTCAGATTATAATGATTTGAATAGAGCTATAGAAATTGTTTGTCAAAAATATAATCTACAGTGTACAAGCTATTTTTTACAGAAAATACAACAGGTAAAAAGATACTAATAATCACAATATAAAATTAAAATCTTTTAATTTATTTTTATCATCTTATTAGATTTAACTAAAAGAATTTTAAAAAATAAAAGTGAAAATTAAGTTGAACTTTGAATTCATTTTGTTGACAGTCATATAATAATAAACAATTATACTGAACTTAAAATCAGAGCTGTATAGTTTGTACACAAACCTGCCAACTTAATTTTATTTTTCCATCTGTATTGTGATCAGTCAATTTTTGATTCTCTTTGATTCTGATTTTTTTTTTTTTGCATTTCTGAATACTCTGACGCACCATGAGCTCAAAAATGTAAAAAGAACCTTTGAAAAATTCTGTGTGCGCGAACTTATTTTGTATTACATTTGAACAGCTTATGGACCAAAAATTTTGAAATTTGGCAAGAATACTACTATATATAGATCATTGATGCTCTTACATTAAGTTGGTGCAGTGGTGCATTCAGGATTTTCTCTTGGGGAACCAAGTTAAATGGATAAAAAAATTTTTAAATGTGAATTCAATAAAATTCCCACCTTATGTGACTGCTAATTCATAAGTAGTATAGAAACAGAGATGCTACAGAATATAAATAAAAAATGAATTTTAATTAGGAAAAGATTTTTGGAAAATTTTCTACTGTTTATTTTTTTTTTTGTGAGATCGGCGAGTGAGTCAAAGACACACAATCAAAAATAGATAAGATAAAATACAATAATTTTATTAACTCTCTCGTTATGATACAGGCTTCTAAGGATACCAACAATGCTACTCCCACCGAATAATCCACATCATTAATTATTTGACCACTGCACAATTTGGTCTCCCAACAAAGAGTGCGCATGCGTAGTCCTTTGTCTGACCGGATTATCCAATTACTTAAGATTATATTAATTAAAACTAGATTCCTATTACTACTTACAACTATTGAATAGAGAAGGCTATTAGAAACTTGAGAGAATGAAAGTAAGGGATAGGAAAGAGGGTACCCAAAACTTGATGATGTATGCTGCTTGTGTGGGCTCGTGGATGAAATTTCTCGTTGGGTTGGGGACTGATTAGCTCCCTTTTTGTCACTCTTTAAGATATTAGTCTGAAGGGTCAATGCGTCCTATTCCTCACAATTAATTTCCTTTTCTTTCTCCATTCCAAAGTTCTTGTCTTGACCATACGATGCTAAACGTACTGGGGAGACTTCCTCTCGCTCTCTCTCCTTTGGGTTCCCTCTTCGGAGTCACTGCCGTTCGCCCCCTCCTCTCAGAACTGCATTCCTTTCCTTGCTTCTTGGGTTAGTCCACCTGCATACAAAAGCTAAGGGTAAAACGAGAACATTCCAGGAAGGGTAGACAAATAGGACAGACAGAGGGGAAGCGGAAAATATACAAGATAAAATAACACAATTATATACAAAAGACACAATTTAAATATGGTGTGTAGCCACACTTTTTTCTATGGAGGAGGCAGGGCCCCTTGGCTTTCCATGGGTGTGCCACTGAGTTGTTGGTAAGGAACTTAGTGAAAATTTTACTTGTTATTGGCATTTACATATTTTTAAAATTGTTGCTGTGTTGCTGAATACTAAATATTTTTACCTTTCTGACTGATTTTCGAATTTGTATTCAAATTGGTTCGATTATAGAATGATTGTAAACGTTCCAGAAAATTGATCAAATTGAAAACAGTTCATTTGACTGAACATAAAAATTCTGTAATTAGTCTGGAAACGGGAGACCTAATTCTTGCATTCTGTGAAAATGGGTAAGATTGGCTATAATGTAATTATCTTAATCTTCACTATCGTTACTTTTTGCCCAGTGAAGCGGGTCCTTGCAGCTAGATTCTAGATTACTTAGAAAAACAGTCTTTTATATATATAAAAAAACTATATTACATACAAATAAAAACCCAGTGAAGCAGATCTTAGCAGCTAGTACAGAATATTTGGCTTAATATCAACTGATTTATTTGGAACTGTGTGAACTCCACTTTATTTTAAGGCTTAGAGTCTAAGCCTTAAAACAAAGTGGGCGGCCAAATCTTCTATTCAGTAATAAAGATTATATGCATTTTTACTTTTAAAACATTATTATTATTGAGACTATGTGTGAAGTGCTGCCTATGCTTCCACACCACTTAATTGATACCACATCAGGATTCTGACATCGCTATGTTTTTATAGATAGACACAGAAATCACTGGAAATATGGTTGCTAATTATTGTTTACATGCGCGCGTTTACGTGCGTAAGCAGTCGGATTCGAGATGAAGGTGGTCCAAGAGACAGTGTACTCTATTTGAATGAATGAGTTTGAATGAGGTGTCATAATTGCTTGGGATGGAGAAATAAAAAGTAAAAACTAACATGGGATGGGAGTGCTTCAAAATCATTTATTTTTCTTTTGATAGTTTGTACTTCCCTTCAAGTTGTGGCAGTTGAATTTCCATCTAGTGAGCCTCTGGAATCCATTCACTTACAGCTAAGATACACAGATTCTTTTTATAATTGTTAGGTTTAGTTTATAGATCATATTGTAATAATTATTTTAATTTTGACCTTTTTGGCACTTACACCTTTTCACCTTCAACTCTTCAATTTTGTATACAAATTAAATAATAACACTGATTTATGAAAAATTGCCATCTTTCAACAAATAATGAAAAGTAAATATATTTTATTATTTATATAATTTCAATATTTTTTATACTTTATTATTTTAATACGTTTTAATATAACTGGTAGTCTTAGGTTTGTCTTTCAAAAATTAAAATTGAATGTTAACATTTTTGTGATTTTACAGATTTATGAAATGATGATAGTAAGGCATGGATTTATGATAGTTGGTTATCCTTTTAGTGGAAAAACAGCTGCTTATAAAACTTTGGCAAAGGCTTTATATATCTTATGTGACCAAGTAAGTTAAAGTATAAATATAACATTAATATAATGCAGAGAGAAAAGGCCCATGCCCTTCAAAATTGTATGGACCTTTTGTTGCTTTAACTGCAATCTGATTAAATATAAAATGGTATAAATTTAATTTTGAGTTATAAAATTATGTTTTCTTTTTTTAATAAAGATATCTAAGTGAATATAATATGTATATATTTTTATGCATACACTTATACAATCTGTATATATGTATGTGCCATAATGAGATCCTTCAGAAATTGGATGTGGTCTTTGGATTAAAAAAAAATTCCCCACCTCTGATATAATGTTTAGAATTTCTTACTTAACATGTCAGTTTCATTGATGTTACTCAATATTTTAACATTGAGTGACATGTATAATGAAAAAATGAAGATATTATAATAAAAAGAAAGATATAATTATTATAAAAGTGATAGTATAAAGAATTATTTTTACATCTTATCTGTATACTACTAAAAGTCTGAATTTGTTTGATTGTAATTAAATACAGAAAAAATAGCACAAAATACTGCCACATTTTTAGGATGATATACCTCAAATGAGAATAGAAACAAAGTAAAACAAGTTTCATTAAAATCAGGAGACAGATTACAGTTATCATTGTTTTTTCTGCTAGTAGTGTCATTCTTTATGACATCACGTAGAATGTAGAATGTTTTTTAAATTCAGTTTTTTGAAAACCTACATGGAAATGTTTGTTTTAAATTTACATCACTTTGCTAATGGAACATTCTTGTAGCTCATTTTTTAATTTCATGTTTGAAAATCTGTGTGGAAACGTTTGATTTAAATATTTATGATATTTATGTCACTTTGCTGTAGAACACTTTTTACTTTTAATTTATTCTGTATATGTTGAGTTTGATGGAACAGCTGTACTACCTGACAAAGGACTGTAAATGGGGGCACAAATGTTTACATGATTAGTAAATCAAATGCTGGAGTAGGTTCTGAGATTTCTGTATGAGTTATAGATAGATAATGTGAGTTTTAATTCACAATACAACTTGATCCTCATGCCAAATAAAAAATTAAAGGAAGGAAAACTCACTGAGCAATATAAAATATATATATATATATTAACACCGTACTCAGTGAGTACGTGTTAATCGTTTTCCTTTCTTTGAGTTCTAATTATTTCAAATTTATTTATATATATAAAATAGAATGACTAGCTACCTGTCCTCTATATACTTTTAAATCCTTTGATCAATATGCACCCATATTTTACCTTCCTTGGGATAAAGTGCAAATCATTCAATTAGAACAAAAATTTTTAAAACATTCTAGAATAAATATTTCAAATGTTGATAGCTGGATCTTTGTAGTTATAAATAAATAAAAATATAAAGGTACGTGTGTAAATCATATATAAAAATACTAATAAAAATACAGTAGATCCCCCTATAAGACGGTAGATACGTTCCGTTCTTTATGAATCAATTTTGTAGGAATCATAGTTTACGGACTACGGCTGTTTGAAAGGTTTTCTTTCATAAAATTAATCGATTCTAGACTAATTCGACTCAACATTTCCAAAATACGTATATTTTTTTGAAAATAATCCGTATAAACTACGTTATAAACAAAAAATTGTAGGATTGCTTACCGAGTGTGTACCGTTCGACTACGCCCGTTGCTAAAGCTTGGTTTCGTCGCGGAACAGCGCATCAAACCGCGGCCGCGATTTCTGATATTATTTTTCTGCGAAAACTTCGTTGACCTTTGGAGACATCCTTAATATAAATAATTTTTATGGCCGTTAAATAAGAAATGTTTCTTTCACAAGAAATGTATAAAATTACAGTACTGGACAGACGATAGGTCGCCTAACTCGCCGTAGCGTGACGCTAGACGGCGAAAAATATATATTTAATTATAATAAAGTTACAATAAATTAAGTTAATATATAATTATATATACAGTACCTAATTTATATATAATTAATATATAATTATATGTACAGTACCTAATTTATATATAATTAATATATAATTATATGTACAGTACCTAATTTATATATAATTTATATAATACTGTCCAGACGATAGAAATCTCTCCGTAGCGTGGCGCTACGGACGGCGGGTAAGTAGTTCGGCTGCCCGATGACGTTTTACGTATTATAGGAGTTATTTTTACCGTTGTTTACGGATAATGCCACAATTTTTATAGGAATCATAACTATAGGAAACGCTTTTATAGGGGGATCTACTGTATAAGAACAAATAATAATAGCCAAGTATGAGCATTATCTCCCAATGCACATGCTATGAGTTCATACAGTGTCACTTGGCATATATTTAAAAAAGCTCTCCATGCCACAGGTTACAGTGTCTGTTCTCACCGTGTCCCATGGGACCAAGATTTGAGTCCAAGGTTTATTTTGAGGGAAAAATCTATAAAACAAGATAAGCAGATGTGTTATGCATCTATAAAATGCCACTATTACATATTACAGTAACTTCTATTCTTTATAAATTTTAAGTAGTGACACAACACATCATAAGTGTTCTAACAGATACTAAATTTACACCAATAAATTGAAAATCACTTATGGCTGCTGCTATTTTCGTTGTGTATTTGTCTGTTTAATCCAATTTTTAGTTCGGTAGACTATTATATACAGCATTCAGGTTGTGAACTTCTTTTATTGGTTTGTCATATGCATTTCGGACTCAATTGTAATTTAAGTCCCTCTTCAGTACAAACTGTTTTAAAAAATTTATATACAATTACTTAAAAATTATATACAATTAGTGAGATTACAAAAATTCTTCGCGTGTAGATAATATTTACTGACATAAAATTATTAAACAATTGTAACACTTATACGTTACCTCAGATTCTGTTTTCTAAAAACCTCGGTGTATAATTGGTAACGTTGGAAAAGATTAAAAATACAGCCATTTAAAAAACACTTCAACTACATATTCACATTAATACGTTGCACACTTTACAAATGTTCATAAAAACCTTTACAATTACAACTTTTTTCAAGAAAAATTCGTATGCACTTTATTGAAATGTTGCAGCAATAATGAACGTTTTTTTC